ATGTGGACCCCGAGGAACCTGAAGCTGCTGACTCTCCACCGTAGTCCCATTGATGGCGATGGGGGCGTGTCCCTCTCTCTGCTGCTTCCTGTAATCCACAATCAGCTCCTTGGTTTTGCTGACGTTGAGATAGAGGTTGTTATCCTGGCACCAAGATGTCAGGTTTCCGACCTCCTCTCTGTACGCTGTCTCGTCGCCGTCGGTGATCGGCCGATGACGGTCGTGTCGTCAGCAAACTTCACGATGGTGATGGAGCTGTGTGTGGCCACGCAGTCGTGTGTGAACAGGGATTTAATGTACACAATCAAAAGTGTTTTTACTGGTTCTGAATGGCAGAGCTAACAGCCTACAGTCACAGATAATGGCTTCTTCCCACTGCATCCCTGATCTGTCTCCAACATCTCTTTCTGTCGTCTGCCTTTCTTTGTCATCCCAACACCATGAATTGTACAAATGAAAATAAAAAGGCACACACAATGCAGCTTCCCCAATTCCACCACCAGAAATGAAGTAAAGACACAGTTAGCAAATCAGGCTAGGCAACATTTTGCACGGTTGTTTCAACGTATGATAGTAAATGGTAAATGGACGGTTCTTTATCCAGTCTTTACAACCCCTCAAAGCATGTCACATACATGAAGCCATCATTCACACAGAGCTATGTGCCATATTTATAAGCTAACAATCATACAACACATTCACACACCATTGACCCAACTCGGGTTTAAAAATATGGTAGTGTGATGTACACTGAACACAAATATAAATGCAACACTTTTGTTTTTGCTCCCATTTTTCATGAGATGAACTCCAAGATCTAAAACATTTTCTATATACACAAAATAACCATTTCTCTCAAATATTGTTCACAAATCTGAAAAAATTGTGATAGTGAGCACTTCTCCTTTGCCGAGATAATCCATCCCACCTCACAGGTGTGGCATATCAAGATGCTGATTAGACAGCATGATTATTGCACAGGTGTGCCTTAGGCTGGCCACAATAAAAGGCCACTCTAAAATGTTCAGTTTTATCACACAGCACAATGCCACAGATGTCGCAAGTTTTGAGGGAGCGTGCAATTGGCATGCTGACAGCAGGAATGTCCACCAGAGCTGTTGCCCGTGAATTGAATGTTCATTTCTCTACCATAAGCCGTCTCCAAAGGCGTTTCAGAGAATTTGGCAGTACATCCAACCGGCCTCACAACCGCAGACCACAGTGTAACCACACCAGCCCAGGACCTCCACATCCAGCATGTTCACCTCCAAGATCGTCTGAGACCAGCCACTTCGGATAGCTGCTGCAACAATCGGTTTGCATAACCAAAGAATTTCTGCACAAACTGTCAGAAACCGTCTCAGGGAAGCTCATCTGCATGCTCGTCGTCCTCATCGGGGTCTCGGACCTGACTCCGGTTCGTCGTCGTAACCGACTTGAGTGGGAAAATGCTCACATTCGATGGCGTCTGGCACGTTGGAGAGGTGTTCTCTTCACGGATGAATCCCGGTTTTCACTGTTCAGGGCAGATGGTAGACAGCGTGTGTGGCGTCGTGTGGGTGAGCGGTTTTCTGATGTCAATGTTGTGAATCGAGTGGCCCATGGTGGTGGTGGGGTTATGGTATGGGCAGGTGTATGTTATGGACGACGAACACAGGTGCATTTTATTGATGGCATTGTGAATGCACAGAGATACCGTGACGAGATCCTGAAGGCCCATTGTTGTGCCATTCATCCACGACCATCACCTCATGTTGCAGCATGATAATGCACGGCCCCATGTTGCAAGGATCTGTACACAATTCCTGGAGGCTGAAAACATCCCAGTTCTTGCATGGCCAGCATACTCACCGGACATGCCACCCATTGAGCATGTTTGGGATGCTCTGGATCGGCGTATACGACAGCGTGTTCCAGTTCCTGCCAATATCCAGCAACTTGGCACAGCCATTGAAGAGGAGTGGACCAACATTCCACAGGCCACAATCAACAACCTGATCAACTCTATGTGAAGGAGATGTGTTGCACTGCGTGAGGCAAATGGTGGTCACACCAGATACTGACAGGTTTTCGGACCCCCCCAATAAAGCAAAACTACACGTTTCAGAGTGGCCTTTTATTGTGGCCAGCCTAAGGCACACCTGTGCAATAATCATGCTATCTAATCAGCATCTTGATATGCCACACCTGTGAGGTGGGATGGATTATCTCGGCAAAGGAGAAGTGCTCACTATCACAGATTTTTTCAGATTTGTGAACAATATTTGAGAGAAATGGTTATTTTGGGTATATAGAAAATGTTTTAGATCTTTGAAAAAGTGTTGCATTTATATTTTTGTTCAGTGTAGTATCAACATGTATCGACAACACTGGGCTGGGATCAAACGCACAGCCCTCCGATTGAAAGACGACTACACTCGCCGCCAAAGTCGCCCTACGAATGACTATAAGAAAAGCTAAATTGTCAGTTTGGTCCGTTCAGCTTTTTAATCTTCTAGAGCTTTAGGTCGTCAGATTGGATGTTTCTTGAAGCAACACTTATGAGCATGGACTGTATTTACTGAAATCTAAAATTCTCCAGTCAAAATGTCGCTTATTGTTTCGGTGTCCTTTGACACTCAGGCAGTCATATCATTAGCTATAACTAGCTAGATCTGATCGATATGGACATAAACACGACTGAAGTCTAATCGGACAGGAGAGAGAGATCAGAGATAGAACAAAACGGAGAAAAAGAGCCCAGCCTCTCCCCACCTCTGCTGCTAAATCCACCGCGGAGAATAAACAGAAGGGCAACCATGGAAACCATGCTCGGAAGTCTTCTTCGCTGCTTTTGGTGTGTATTTTGTGGCGGAAGTACAGCGCCACTTACAGGCCCGGCATATGTACTACAGCGTCTCCAGCAGGTCGAGCGGTCTCGTGTGGAAGGACACGTTTCTGGTGCCTATTGCGTGTGGACGGAAGACTTTTTTGATAACGATTTTGGTTTGTTTGCGTTACCGTTCTCGTTTGGCTCCAGCATTATTTACTGAGCACTTGACCTTCTGCAGGTTCATTGTTTGTATCTGGTGTATTTAATAAAGTAAGTATTGCTCTTTCCTTACTCCTGCCCCCTGACATATGCTGGGATCTGATCTCGGAGCATCTTTCTCAATTTATATCCCAGTGTGTTTTTGAACAGTGAGCACTGTTTGTGAAGGTTGCTGCCGTCAGGGACTATTACTGGAGACATTTATGACCTTTCGGGTCACCATGCCTCTGCAGTTCATCTCACGCTGTGTTACTGCTTCTCAAAGTGTGTTCACACAGTGGTGGAAAATAACAGTTGATCTGCATTCCACAGGGTTCCTCTGAGATTACCAAGAACTCTTTGTCAGCACCACAACACCAAATTATGCTTTATTTAAATGTCTTGGTGGACAAAGCACATACAATATGGTATTGGTGCTTTTTTGAGTTAAAGATATGTTAAAAGTAAAACCCCTGTTGATCCATTCAAAGTTATTCAAAAGTACAAAAGTATTTGCATCAAATTACAACTTAAAGTTTCAAAAGTAAAAAGTACTTGTATGCATAATGACCCATTCAGAATCATATAATAACTACTGATTGTGATTATTGATGCATTAATGTGTCAATCATAGTTGGTAAAGGTAGAGCTAATAACTTAATATACTGCTGCTTGATACTCAATTGTGATATAGATAAAGTACCTATAACTATAGCTGTCACATAAATGTAGTGGAGTATGAAGTACAATTTTGTAAATCTAGTTTAAAAATACCATCCCAAACATTTAATATGAGTGTAATTGCCCCCTGTTGCACCTTTTACCACACCCAAAGGTAATGGTGGTGTTCTGACCAGCACATGGTCAGAAATGTAACCACTGGACCTCAGCAGAAACTAAGGAATCTATCCACTGCACCATCAGTCTGTACAAACACCCAGGGAGATCTGGCCCAGTACGGTTACTACCTTTATCAGTTTGGTGGGTGCCACTGGAGGACCGAACGTAAACTGGCTCTTGACACAGCACTAACACATTTGTTTAGAGATGAATATTTGGGGTGAGATTTAGTTCCAGTTCCAGTGTTTGGCCAGTTTTACCCAGGTTTATCTGGCTGAGTAAATCCAAGCCTGAATTGTAAAGCAAAGCCTTTACTGTCTTTAGAAGCTAAACACAACGGCATGCTCCTAAGGCTGTCACTGAATTTATTTCCAGTGGTAACTGAGTAACAAACAAATAAAGTAAATGCATTTCCATTAATGTTTCTCGCTTGAGGTGTTCAAGTATGGCAGGGGATTAGGGCCACATGTAAAAATGTACTGAGTTTTGACCAAAAAGTATTATATATATCTTTGAGGATGAATTCTGAATTGTTTTTGTGACTTTTACCTTTATTTTTTGCCCTCAAAATTCTGAATTCTGAATGTTATCTCAGAATAGAAAAACGTACTTTTAGTCAGAACTGAATATTTGCCCTAATTCTCTCCTGAATCAAAGGATATGTCAGTATCTGGATTTAATTTTATGTTGTGGTCTTGATCAATAATTTGGCCAAGCTTCTCTCTTTCTCTTTCTGTTTGATGAACGGAAATACATTTTCCACATTATACCACCTAACACAACATGCTATTTTCGCACGCTCTTTTTTTCGCGCGATTGCCAGTCACCGCGTGCACTAATGAATTCCTCATTAGCAGGAAGTGGACCGCCTCAGTATGTCTTCTTGCGCGCGCGGAGCCACATCAGGAGTCTGAGCTCCGGGTTAGTGTCAGCAGCTGTGGGGACTGCTGGAGGAGCTCTTTCTTTCTGGGGTTACTACTCTCTTTTTTCTACCAAAGCCTTCTTCATCTCTACTGTCACTTCTCAGTTCTCCTGGCAACATAAAGGGCACCTGTCGCGACTCAGGTAGGCATACCCGCTCGAATGACATATAAGTAGGCGAATTATAAAAAAAAACCCTGGTTGTTGAGGCAGAGGGAGTTCTGTTTTAAAAGAGCTGAACAGAGTGTGAGGAGCTGAGCCGGTGTAGTGTCTGTTCATGGAGACACATCTCGGTGTGTTCCGTTCAACAGCTGGATGGTGGTTTGTGGAACAGCGCGCGCTCTGAGCGGTTTCCCCTCTTTTCTGCAGGTTTCCGCGATGAGAGGACGATGGAGCCCATATTTCACGTCCGTGCTGGTGTCTTTGACCATTCTGTGGCAGACACGGTAAGTTTTATGTCAGTGAAATGTGTTTTTATGAATTACCAGGAAACTACAAGCTCTCGGCAGATTGGCGCGTGCGCGGGTCTGATGTTTCCAACAATAGGTTTATCGGGATTTTTTGTTAAGTAGAAGCGTGCTCAACTTCTAGTAATGGACTATTACCGATTTTAATGAACCGCATTGAACATAGGGATTTAGAATAATGAGTATTTGCTGCTCCGAGCGCACAGTTCATCCTTTCATGCAGAAAGCACCACAACCAGACTCCGTTCACAATTCTGTCAATTTAAGAATAATCTGCACATCGGAAAAAAACTCACTCGTTCTCCAAGCTGCTGCAGTTTCATAGGATGTGTTATGTCGTGCTGGTGAATTCGGCGCATCGATATTAAACCTAACATATTTTTATAGGAATCAATATCAACCTCAAGAGTTTTCACTAATCTTACAAATATCCTACGCATATTAATACAATAATTGGAACTCTATCAATCTGTTTAATTTTGATAGTAAAATGTAAACGTATAATGTAAAATGAATATAGGCTACCAGTCTGTAATCAATGGTGAAATAAATACAGTTTGATATTTACAAGTTGATTTATATATTTTGTAACTAATCATGTACATCTGTGAAGTAACCTTTAACCAAAGCTGTCAGATACATGTAGTGGAGTACAAGTATAAAGTAACATAAAATAAACAATACAATAAACTACAAGTAGGCCTACCTCAATATTGTAATTAAGTACAATACTTGAGTACATGTACTTACTGTCGTAAAATGACATTCCACCACTGCCCCTGCTATTGTGATAACGAACATTTACATTTTCCAAACAGAACATTTGCCAATTTTGTCAGAAATGCTCTTTCTCTGATCGTCATTACCTTTATAAAACTGTTGATCAAACAATACTTTACTACGGTAGACTTTACTAATGAATATAGTACTAATTATATCTTTATAAAATATGTAAAAAGCTGCAAGTAAACTCCATTTGTCCACACTCATTATGGCAGATAAAAAAGATTAGTCTCATTTTACATATGGAGTTATTCTTCCATAACTGCAGTGTAGTCATATTGTACATACTGATAAATACAGTAGGCCTACATGCAGCTATAAAGCAACGGAAAATGTAGTTGTTATAGAGAAGGTAACAATCTTACCAACACTGAATGGGTACAGATTATGACAACATGAGGAGAAGAAAGCAAAAATAATTCCTGTGTAAAAGGGTACGTTTATCGCTGTGTCTTAATCTACGGACTTCTATACACTTTTTTTTTGTGCATTAGTGCCAATGCAAAGTATTGCAAAATGCACTATAATTATCCGGATGGTGCACGTAGGCCTACATTAAAAAAAAGCTTCTACACCCAACAATCCCTAATTTGGGAAAGTAAAGAAAGTAAACTGACTGGCCATGATTGCAGTTGCTTTGATGTACACAGCATTTTACAAATAGATATAGGCCTACATGTGGTTTTTTCACTATTTCATAACATACCACCATTCCTGGTGTGGAAATAAGTGTTACAACTGTTAAATGTATAGGGTTATTGGGCAGTATGTATTCATCTTCTACCCTGTAAATACCCTGACCGATCGTGGTAATCTAGCAAGTCGCGAGCAAAATTAAAATGCAATTTAAAGGTAGGGTATGTACATTTGAGAAACCGGCTCGAGATCGCTAGAATTTGAAAATACACGACCGGAGAAAATCTGCCACTTCCTTACAGAGCCCCTCCTCCAACACACGAACGCGCACATGACCAATGAGGGCACGAGATAAGTTTGTGCACAGATGGAAGGCTGACAGGCAGGTAGGCCATCCAGTTATTTTAGCCGGGCCGGCTCAGATGATTGGATGTGCTTTTTACAGCGCTATGGCTTCCACAGATGACTTTTTTTAATGGATTTTTTGTCAAAGCATTTCAGATATTCATTGCTATCGGGATGTTAAGAGCATTCCATGGAATATAACAACAAGTGTATCTCGAGCCGGTTTCTCAAACTTACCTACCCCACCTTTAATACAACAAACTTGAGTCCAGATCCACATAATAATCTCTTTCAATAAAAGAACCTCAGAAGATCAGCTCACTTCAACTGATAGCATTAATGCTTGATCTTCTATACTGTTTATGACCTATGTGTGGCTCTGTCTCACATATGTACCTAGATATATGAGGCACCTGCTAATTAATTATACTTTAAGTCTAAATTCTCTTTAAATTCCCCCTGCACTCCGAATTGGAGCTCTGTCCCTTTAAAACTGTTATTTAAAAAAAAATGTTATACTTGTTTGTTATTTGAATTATTATTCGATTTTAATCCTTCCTATCCTAAATATATCCTTTACTATATCGCTACTATACCGGTCAAATCGCTTGTCTCACATAAAGGGATGCTCTCCCAGTGATTCTCAAACTTTTTTCAATAATGTACCCCCTTTGAAAAAAAAATTCAGCCATGTACCCCCCCGATCAGCGCAAAAACAATTTGTTAGGGAAGAAATGCCTATATAAAGAGGTACAGTACAGCGCTGCACCATCAGAGTCTGATTTATTAAAACAACAACCTTGTAACTGAGAAACACTTAAATGCTACATTTCAAATGTTCACTAAATCCATGGCCAACCAATTTTAACATCATGCAATAACACTAAGACGACATTAGTTGCATTGAACTGATCTTTTTAATAAGTTGTACTTACAATTTAGTGAAACATGGGCTTGTGCTTCACTGAGGATCTTTGTCATTCTGACAGGGAGGCAAACTGCAGTTATTACACTTCACGTTTTGAAATATGTGTAACTCTGTTAATATAAAACCCACACTGCTCAAACTTCCTTACTTTTCCTAAAATTGGTATTCTTATTTTTTTACATTAACATAAAAATAAATCTCACGTACCCCCTGCAGTACTCCAACGTACCCCTAGGGGTCCGCGTACCCCCATTTGAGAACCACTGCTCTATCCAATAAATGAAGGTAACAAATATGCAGCATAGCCTAAATCGTCCAAAAGCATCTAGTAACCGCACCCTCGCTGTTTCGTCTACGCGCATGTCTTCTAACGCTGCTGCGATGATGATGACGCATCGGGAGATCGGATGGAATAGATTTTCAGATTTGATCAAATTGCTGACAGACTGCAGCAGTGCAGGTTCAAGGATTAAATTGTAGGTGGAGATTACATAATTGTGTTATCTTTCACAGTTCTTAGTCGTACTTAAGTAAAGTTTATTTATGTAGCTGACGTAGATTTCAATAATCATGCAACCGTCTTATTTTGCCTTGTTTAGGTCCGGAGTAGATTCCAATTCAACACGTAACGTCAACATCACAACGTTCACCAAGATCCTGGACAGTCTGCTGGATGGATACGACAACAGACTGAGACCCGGCCTGGGAGGTGAGAGAAGGAGGAGCTTTCACATAGGAGGAGATAGGAGGTATTCATGACTTGAGACTTGACTTGAGACAGATGACTTGAAAGGACTTGACTTTTTCAAATGAAATATTTGTTTTTGTATCGTACGGAGCCCCTAAAGGGCAATGAAAAAAAAAAAAGATACTGTATCTCGTTCGCACGAGAAAGTTACCGGAGTGCCAAGTAGGAAGTGGAGCGCACAGGAGACAGCCGTTTCATTGCAGACTGTAATGTTTATGTTTGGAAATGGCAGTGCATACATTAAATTTGAGATATATTTCGAATTCGGACCCTCATTCACTTCATGAAATCGCTACAGCACACACACACCACACACCACACACACACACACACACACACACCACACACACACACACACACACACCACACACACACCACACACCACACACACAACACACACACACACACACACACACACACCACACACACACACACACACTACACACACACACACACACACACACCACACACACACACACACAACTGCCCCATTAATCCCCCTATCACTCGTTTTATGAAGGAGATGTCCGGTCACTAAGCCGCATGATGTTTGTGTGTTTGTGCTCTGCTCAGCTCCGCTCTGTGTGTGTGTTCGGTGTGTTTGTGTGTGTCCGACAACGGCATTTGATTTCAAATGACCATGAACAGTAATTTACACACATCTGGCCAACTTCATATGCATATGTGGGTGTTCCCAAATGATTAATGTGTTTAATCTTAATGTCGCACACATATCATGCACCCTGGTACATACACTATTCCGTTGTATTGGCTTTGATGCAATATTTCTTTGTGCACAGACACAGTTAGGAACACAATGAGACAGTGTCATATGGAGCCCCTTAGACAGACCATGGAGGAATGCTGTGACCCTGCTGAAGGGCAGCCAGGGCAGGAGGCTTAACGGCCCGTCTACACTACAGGCATCAAAAAGTCTTGAAGCTGGGCGTGTCTGAAGCTTGGCGATTTTTTGCGACCAACAACCAATCACATGAATCTCCCGCCCCCGACATACAAAGCAATAGCAATGTTAAAACGAAGTAAACTGGATATAAAATCCCCAAACAGGCGAAAACCTACCAGTTTCACCCACTGTCTCTGCCACCTCCCTCCATGCCTGGTTCCTCCGGTTTGTATCCCGGTAAATAGTTCTGGTCGTAAAGAACCAGGTGATTTGCTACCGTAATTTCTCGTTTGGAATATGAAGAAATGAACTGCGGTCTGGCTCTCCCAGCTTGCACGCGGTTTGATTGGCTAGCGCTTGTACTGGCGGGAATTGCAAAAACGGGATTTGATTGGCTGACGCCAGCTTCGAGCCTCAAAAGTTGAACATTGTTCAACTTTTGATGCCGATAGACGCTCGCGATGCTTGCAACGCCTTGCCATGCTACCCACAATGCAGTTCGGCGAAGTTTGAAAATATCCTACGTCACCCCATTCAAATGAATGGGCGAAGCGTTGAAAGCATTTTTTGACGCCTGTAGTGTAGACGGGCCGTAACATGTTGATGTAACATGTGTGTTGTACTCCTGTTATCACTTTAGAGCCCTTTTAGAACTTATAGGGTTATCATTTCAGCGCCCCACTCTCCATTGCTGTTTATGTTGAAAATAAAACTAACATTTTCATAACCACAATATTTTAACTGATTTAAATGCGGAAACTGGGCTATTCATCAGAATGTTCTATGACTTGACTTGTGACTTTCTTGACCTGAGTAATGACTTGACTTGCTTGACTCTGACCACAGTGACTTGGGACTTGCTTGAGACTTGTAGGTTAAGACTTGAGACTTGCTCATGACTTGCACATGTAGGACTTACTCCCACCTCTGGCTGTTAGCATTACAGTCCTGCTAGGCTAAATAACTGAGCTAACAGCTAACATTACCAGTAGGCCTACAGAGAAAGGTTTTATAGATACACATTATAATGCTTCAAGCTCCAATCAGTAAAAAAACTTGCGTGTTGGTAAATTGTAGCGTTATCCTGATGTGGTTAAACATAATTCCATTATGTGTTTTTTCTAATGTAGTTTTGGCGAGAAACTTGAGTAAATAAAGTTATTTGAAGGAGATGTTTTACACAGCATTACAAAATAGATATTGGAGAGGGAATTATGATATATTTAACTTCCTAACAAACAGTAATAAGGGAATGTATAATAAAGTCATTGGGATTTTATGTTTTTCTTTAGTTGTCTAGTAAAGTAACACATTTTGTATCGAGAATAGTTTTGTTTCACTGGTATTAGTATTATCTACTAAACTTCATGGTGTTTTTTTGGTATGAATGATAGATTCAGGTAATTCTATCATGAATCAACGGTTAAGTTAGCTAACATGCTAACTTAACCATTACAGCCACAGCTCATAGAAAACAACTGCTGTGCTGCAAAAACCTAAAAGAAATAGCAAGTAGTAAATGTGGTGGTGGAGGCATTGTGTCACATTTTGTGAATCAAGTAATACTGTATACTGCTGGTTGGGAAGCTTTTGCGGGCCAGATGTGGCCTTTGTGCCTCCAGTTGACAATCATTGCTGTGCATAGAGCCGAGATGTAGTTCCTCTGGCTGAGACTCCACTTGCTTGTTCTGTCTGAAGCGCAGCAAAGCAAGGTGAGTCTGTGGTTTCTTTGTGAAAAGTGAACATTTTACATAATTCTAAATTGAGTTGGCTACAATCTCGCAAGTATTTCTGCCTGCCTCTGCAATCAATCAGCTGTAATACGGATGTTGTTTCTGTAGTTCTTGGTTAAATCGCAGGAGTTGACTGCAAGAGTAAAATATAGGCGCAGCTGTCTGTCTGAAGGAGAGAGATGTGGTGCAGTCAGGTGTGACAGCAACTGCAATCATAGCAGAGGAGAAACAAGCAGTAAAGTTGTCACGTGGAATAAAATGCATTGTTAAGCTTGTGTATGAAAAACACTGCAGCTTTCCTAGACCAACCCAAGGCTGTGGGTGTGTTCATAACAGTCATTTTGTATTGACTTGGTTCCAAAGTATCAGTTCTCATGGCATCCTTACAGATTACATTACCGATTATTCTGAACCAACAAATGATTTTAAATGGCACCATTTTATGGTTAAATCAGTGGTTCCCAAAGTGGGGGGGCGCAGAGGCATGACAGGGGGGGCGCGAGAGACCAGGAGGAAAAATGGTTATTAAAAAAAAATAAAAAGTGTTAAAAAAAAAAAATCATAATTTCAAAAATTATTGATTCGAAAATAATATGATACAGTACTATTACATCTGGGTCTCTGTGTTTCATTAAAGCTCGGCTCTGTGTGTGTGTGTGTGTGTGTGTGTGTGTGTGTGTGTGTGTGTGTGTGTGTGTGTGTGTGGTGTGTGTGTGTGTGTGTGGTGTGTGTGTGTGTGTGTGTGTGTGTGTGTGTGTGTGTGTGTGTGTGTGTGTGTGTGTGTGTGTGTGTGTGTGTGTGTGTGTGTTGAAGGAGCCATTTTGTGTGCGTGAGCGAGCGAGAGAAAGAGAGCGCACCGGTACCGGAGATCGTTGTTGTTAGCTTCTGGTGCTAGCGAGCTACGCTAACAGATATAAGGAGTTTTTTCAACAACAAGGAGGAGGAGAGTCCTCTCCTGTCAGACCGAGAGACTCAGTGAGCTAAAGGACTCTCAGTGTTATCTCAGTGGGTCTCAAACGTTTTGGTCACCATTAATGTAAACAATTATTTCCGAGGCACACGTTTATATGATCATTATAGTTATACAAAAACAAGAGAATAAATGAAAAACAGGTATGAAATACTATATGACAGTAAAACAAGAATAAAGTTTAAAAGGGTGATTTGTAAAATATCCATAAAGAAAAAGTAAATCTGTTTACAGTTCTGATTCATATGGGTGTTGAGAGATGTATCCATAGATCTCTTCATTTTGCTCCAAGTCCACCAGATTGATGCTTTTAACTTCAATATTTAAAAATGAATCTTCCCGGGGGAGCATGCCCCCGGACCCCCCTATGTGAGGTCCACACACCACCTATAAAAATAGCACTTTACCCCTGCTTACACCTATATGCCTCGAGCCTTCATTGTAACTGTCTCCCTGTGTATTTGCGTGGGGAGTGTTGCAGTAGAACATTCCACTGTAGCGCCCGGTACATTAATGGGAAACCCTAAATGTTTGAGCACCCTCTATGAAACGTCAAGCTACCCCACAGCACCCCAAAATAAATCTCTGGCTCCGCCACTGAGCCTGACTATTTGTGTTGGGGGGCCCCGACTTTTTTTTTTCTCCAAAGGGGGGGCCTGACAGAAAAAGTTTGGGAACCACTGGGTTACATGTATAAAAGTATAGCATTCTTCAGTTATTTGTATGTAGATTAACCATGTCCTACGAGATGATATATTTTTTTACAAAAGTGCTTGTAAAATGTGACATGGCTTTGATTCACAATTAAAAAGTAGCCTACCTCATGGAAAATACCAATTTATATTGTGTACAGCCAGCCACTACAGATATATTATATTTTGTCTAAACAGTAATGTGTTCTACCTTTTAGTAAAGAAAAAGCATGCTTTTTGCAGATTACTTTCACTGAAGGGAGGATTTCTTTAAACTGAAAAATCAATAACGCTAACATATACTATTGCTTTTGATTTGTTATAGTTTCAGCTATTTATTTCTTCCTTTTGAACCTGCTTGATTATTATAATTGTTTCAATTGAGTAATAATATGAATACAAGACAGGCGAGAAAACACACAAACAGAAAAAAAAGATTGTACAATCTAAACATATTTTATATAATACTATTTAATATAGTTTTGGTTATGAATTTGTTTCTTTAGAACCAGCCTGATTATTCATCATATGCTATACGTTATCTATGTCAGTACAGTATAGTACTGTTAGGGAAACCCCCCTTGGTTCAGGGTGGTGTGTACAGTGGCCTTTATAAGAAAAACTGAAGCTTCTATCATCCTTGTTCGTCCTTGTGGAGTATTGTAAATGTACCTACCATTCACTGTTTTCTCTCTATCAGTCATACAAAACGTGCTTCTATTTTAATCAGTGTATGGGTAAAAAATAAATTACATGTTGGTGTAGAATGTATCCCGCATAGAGCTTTTGCCTTTAGTATCTGCATGTGTTTGATATATGTGGTATGGGCTGTGTTCAATCTACAGCTCAGATGACATTAAGAGTCATGCAACTGAAATGAAATGAAATATGTTTTTTCTCGTGGAGTTCATTTTTTTTTTTGTGCGATGTAGTGTAAATGATGTCAGTGTCACCAACAACACCCAAGGCAGTGCAGGACTGTCATGTTTATGCATCATTCTAGATGCCTGCATACTGTATACATCTTGAATCACTCAAAGCGTAATCTATGTTTGGTGGCTTCACATTCTGTCCAAACAAGATCAAATAGAGGGATCACATGGTTAACCTCTTTCTGTCTGCATGTTCTCACAACACTGATGTATGATTTATGGATGAACATAAGTGCACGTTTTCTATGCAATGAGTCTTTCAAGTTGTGTTCCTGTTTCCTTCTGTCACCATAGTTTAAAAAAAAGTGTTCAGGATTGTCAATAGACTGTATTTGACAGTAGGGTGAGGGTCTGACCTCAAAAGTTGGGTTTTTGTAGGTGTACGCAACAATGGAAATACGTCATAGTCAGGGGTGCACATAACTTTTTTGCCCTGGTTCTCAAAGGAGCACCTGGAGATGTTGCTTGGTGCTCATCCTTAAAATGAAATAAACCGTAACTTTTGAGGGGGTCTTAACTTTATTTGCCAGACACACGGCACTGAACACACGTGCAGAGGTGAACACAGAACACACATGCAGAGGTGAACACAGAACACACATGCAGAGGTGAACACAAGACAACATTAGCACGACCAGTAATCCTACAAGCTGTCATCACTACCCTCCTGACTGTTCTCCTCACTGTCTTCCTCTCTGTCAGACATGGTAGCTGATGATGAAGGCTGTTACGTTCCCTCTTGGCTAGGGGTATAGAAGGGAAACGACACGACGAGATTGGATTTGGTATTTGTTACCGGTGGTTTTATTCGTAACAGCACCTGAGCAAAACGTTGTACACAAACAGCTTGGCCCAACAACGGGTCAAGCTGTCACTATTTCACAAAACGGGTCTCCAAAAGAGAGTTGCCCAGTACTATACAAAGGAAAGAAAATACCTCACTTCTAAAGTGGAAACAAACAATAACAAAACGGGACTGTGGACAAACATAGCTGGTGCTGGTCTACAGGTGCTAATCACCTGGATCTACGCAACACACACACACAAACCATACACTAAACACAGAATACCACAACACACTGCTAACCAGTGTGCTCGCATAGAACCCTACAGAATACACTGCTAAGCAGTCTACAGAAGCACAGAATACACACTGCTAGTCAGTCTACAGAATCACAGAACGAAGGCTTTGTCACAATGAGAGGGTTGAGGCATCTGTCACACAATACAGAGCCTCCAGACTGATGTTCGTGCCCAGCCTTTATCCTCCTCCCCCGGATGACGTGGCAGCCGCGGGCAGGGCTTGAGTGACGTTTGTCCAATCCCCGCGAATGTTGCGAGGTCGAGCCGGCCACTGACAGCATAGGAAGGCACAGCTCATTTGCATACACACACAGTTAAAGGCACAAGGTAGCAGCGGCTGTAACAAAGGCCTACTACTTTCTCTCTGGTTGAGTCTGCGATTAGCTGCTTGCATCAACAAGTCAACAGCTGGTTTTGGGTCGAAAGTCTCTGTTGTCATCTTAGACAAGTGGATGTAATCAAATAAGCATGTGAACATAACCAATAACCTACCATAGCCAATAAGAAATGAATGTAACTTATTTTATTTGTGTTGTTCATTCATATCTTATTTTACCTTAACATTTATCTATGCATTTTTTTTATCTCTCCAGTTTTAAAGGATGGTTACTGTCCTATAGTATACATTGGAATTATTTCAAACCTGTTTATCCCAATAATTATGAAGGAGTGCCTTGGAAATATGTGTTTACATAAATTGTGACCAAACCGTTTGAACTTAGACTAAAGTGAACTATCTATTCTAAACACTCAGAGTCCTTACCTCACTGAGCTGTACTTATCAGCCTCTCAGTCTGACTGGAGAGGACTCTCCCTCCACATTATTGTAGAAACATCTTCTTCTTATATCCGTTACAGCAGCTAGCACCAGATTCTAATAACAACAGCGCCGGTACCGGTGCACCCTCTCTCTCTCACTCGCACTTTGGCTGTGAGCTGCGGGCGCCAGATAAGCCAACATCCACCATTTTCATCACTTACAGCGCCCATTGTGCAGGGCAAATGAAACGTGTAACCGGGGTGAAAAGGGTGTTACATTTACTTAATTATGAATATTGTTACATCAAGGCCGAAAATTAGGATGAGCCCCAACTGTCAACATTTTTTTTTATGCGCACCAGCGCACCAGTTATGTACAGCCCTGGTCATAGTACTGGACACTACCACAGGTATGAAGAAGGAATCAAACATGCTTTTTTGGGCGAAAAAAATATTATTTTGTATACATTGTAAATAGACTGCATTTAAACAGTGTTTTAGATATAAAAGTCGGAATCAACCCATATTAATAAAGATGCATAAGAAAAACTCAGTCTACTTATTTGTCCTATCTCATTAAGGTTGTGCTTTTCTACATTTAATTTGGCTGTTTGTCTTTGCAGATAGAGTAACGGAAGTGAAGACTGACATCTATGTAACCAGTTTTGGTCCAGTTTCTGACACCGATATGGTAAGTCTCACATCTATCCTCTGAATGCATTTTATCCGAATCCAAGACAACATATACAAAAGCTTTGTCCCAATTAAGCAGCCATAGCCTTCAAAGTCTAGTTTTGTAGACCAATTACTTCACAGCTTCCAAGAACGAGGCTGTCCCATTTCTACAAATGCGGACAATTGAAACAAGGCATTTTAACTACCCTCATTTACTGTTGCCACCCAACTAATGTTACAACACTTTTGGCTAAAAGAACAGACTAATCCTTTTTAATTTACCTGGCCATGGTCTTTACTTAGCCTGCAATGTCAATCGCAAACAGTAAAGCATCTTCAATAAATGGTTAAAGAAAGAAACAAAAATGAAAGTTTGAGGCTCAATTTCAGCTTAGTTAGCTTGTTAGTAGCACTGTTCTGTAGCAGTGTTCTGTAGCAGTGTTCTGTAGCAGTGTTCCGTAGCACTGTTCTGTAGCAGTGTTCTGTAGCAGTGTTCCGTAGCACTGTTCCGTAGCAGTGTTCCGTAGCAGTGTTCCGTAGCAGTGTTCCGTAGCACTGTTCCGTAGCAGTGTTCTGTAGCAGTGTTCCGTAGCACTGTTCCGTAGCAGTGTTCCGTAGCAGTGTTCCGTAGCAGTGTTCCGTAGCACAGTTCCGTAGCACTGTTCCGTAGCAGTGTTCCGTAGCACTGTTCCGTAGCACTGTTCCGTAGCAGTGTTCCGTAGCACTGTTCCGTAGCAGTGTTCCGTAGCACTGTTCCGTAGCACTGTTCTGTAGCACTGTTCTTCTGTAGCACTGTTCTGTAGCACTGTTCTGTAGCACTGTTCCGTAGAACTGTTCCATAGCACTGTTCCGAAGCAAAGTTCTGTGGTGCTGTTTCTGATGGCTGGAAACCTGGAAAGTAGAGCCACGGAACACTGCTACGGAACAGCAATAGTGAACAGCGCTACGGAACAGTGCTATGGAAGAGCGCCACAGAACAGGGCTAGGGAGCAGCGCTATGGAACAGCTCTACGGAACAGAGTGAGTGAACAGTGCTAGGAAACAATACTATAGAACAGAGATATGGAACAGCGCCATGGAAGAGTGCTAGGGAACAGCGCTACCGAACAGTGCTACGGTCAGTGCAGTCAGTAACAACGTGTTACATAAACAGGAAATCCACCGTAGACTAGACCGTACCAATTGTGAGACCGCTTGTTTCTGCTTACTTGACCACGGTGCCTGGGTCCTCTGAAGACTGTGGTCGCTGAGATGCAGCTAAAGTGTGAAATGGAAATGGCTTCAGCTCCTTGAAAGCCTTGACCCCAACACTCCAAGCTGTCAAAATAAATGTCCATCCAAAACACAGCACTTTTGAATCTGCTTCTAGCTAAATTGCTTTGTATGAAACATGGAACTTGACACACTGGCTAAATGTCATTTGTGGCAGGCTCTGAGGCTCTGACAACTAAAACCAATAATTTAGAAATGCCTCTGACAAAGTAAATTCATCAGGAAGAACAAGCTTGTTTCAAAAGACAATAACATTCCTAGGAAGACATTTTTAGAAATATTATTTTAGAAATGATTCATATAAATAGCATACTGTGCTAAATTGGGTGTTGAACTGATAGAGAATCGCTCCAGTTAACCAAGTGTAAGTGAGACATATTGCAACATTTAAAAGGGGTCATGTGATTTATACTTTCTATTCTGATACATGTACTCTTTGTTGGGTTTGACCAGACTGACATTATCCTTTAAGAAATCTCAGGGTTGCCTCGCTGGGCCAGTTAAGACAAAATCACAAAGATCCAGCAGATAATATCTTGCAGACAGAGGCCTGTCAGCTCTGCTTGCCCTGTTGCCATTGGAAACCCAGGCACTCCAACCGTGAGAGTGATGACATGGCAAGGGTCAGCCTGTGTTATTAAAAATGAGATCTGATCATCCACTGCCATGCCACTCTGATATAGGGCAGTGTGATTTATTTACATATTAATGATCATTATCATATATTGGCCGTCCGTTATTGATTCTAGTGCAGCATTTTAATAGGATGGCAGTGGCACATAGTTTAGTCCTGCCTGTTGTGTTAAGATTGTAATGATGTTCAAAATTCATCTCATTAAAGCCCCTGTCACACTGTCCCGAAATGTACACCCGATGGACACACGAATATTGAATTGTGAATTTCGCACGAAGATGGCACCGAACCACACACAAAGGCAACATTTACATTACATTTAAGACATACAACTGCAACGAAAGTAACACAAACAATTATGTTAAAGTACTATGATACTGTGCTGATATTTTCAGACTTTGTTCTTTACTTTCTCCGTCTTTATATGTAGAAGATATTACGTTTTCTCCGTCATGTTGTTGTTTCCATAGCAACAACAACTTCCTGTCAATTCGCCTTCAAAATAATATATTATATCCTTTTCAGTTTCACAGAACACAAATTGGGTTATTTACATAATATGTTTACATGATTTTGTTGTGCAATAAAACAACCCGATGGACATACGATAAAGGAAATGTTCAAATTCGGCTCTGATCGTAGCAACATCGGGCCATTCGTGAGGGCATCTTAAGCCTTCGTATGACCGCCGGTGGAGTTTCTCAGGCTCCGGCAGCAACTTTGTGAGCGGTGGCAAAATCTTTGGCATGCCAAAAAATAGCCGAAGGACCTTGCGAAGGTTCATTTTCGTGTTGAATTCGTGTGTCAATTTTGCCCTTCGTAAGGCCATCGTTAGGGCATCTTGTTATCATCGGTGCCATCGGGCATTCGCCCCGATTAGAGTGAGGGCGAATGCACCGATGATAACACGAAGATGACGACTTGACAAGATGCCCTCACGAGTGCCTTACGAAGTTGCCGCTCACGAAGTTGCTGCCGGAGCCTGAGAAACTCCACCGGCGGTCATACGATGGCTTAAGATGCCCTCACGAATGGCCCGATGTTGCTACGATTACAGCCGAATTTGAACATTTCCTTTATCGTGTGTCCATCGGGTGTCAATTTCGGGACAGTGTGACAGGGGCTTTAACCACAACATGGTTGAACGCCGTCTACTGTTTTGTGGATTGGAATAGATTGACCGAGATGGCACCGCTAATGTTTTTGTGGGAGATCCGTAGCTGTTTCTTGTCAATCAAAGACTTTTACAGCTTTTATCAGCTAAAGTCAGCCTGGTACCATAACCAAAACAGCTGAAAGCCAAAGTTTGGCTCAGAAAAGCGGCCATTTATTGGATTTGTTGCCTCTCAAATTGAACATGTTGTTATGGAAACTACATGTCCATTCACAGCAGCAAGAGAGCGCTGTTGAGGTAACTAACAGGTATTAAATAAATGTAGTGGAGTAAAGGTACACACAATTTCCTCTGAATTGTAGTGGAGTAGAAGTACAATGTAGCAAAACTTGAAATACTTAAGTAAAGTACAAGTACCTCAAAATTGTACTTAAGGGATGGGTGGCGCAGTGGTCTGTGCATCTGATCATCAGATCAAGGGGAGTGCTGGGGAACTCCAGTTCGAAACCCGCTCCTGCCGCCACTGCGTCAGGTCGTTGTGTCCTTGGGCAAGACACTTCACCCGGATTTGCTCCTGTGGGTAATGTCCACAGTACATGTATGATATCAATGTGTACTTGTAAAAGCGCCTCGATGACTTTGAGGCGTGAAGATGGACGGTGTGGCGCAGTACGCTGTGCAATGATCATCAGATCAAGGGGTGAAACCCGCCGCTGTCTGTAAAGCCGTTGTGTCCTTGGGCAAGACACTTCACCTAAACTTGCTCCTGTGGGTATTGTCCACAGTGACCATTGCATGTATAAAAAATATGTGTAATGTGTATTTGTAAAGCGCTTTGAGCATCTGGAAAAGCGCTATAATAAATGTAAGGAATTATTATTATTATAGTACTTGAGTAAATCTACTTAGTTACTTACTGCAGGTATGTTATGTGTGCTAGCACTGTAGATGAAATTTAAAAAATGTAATTCGGTTTCCAATTTGTTTAGTTTCTTTAGTCAAAAGAACCGATACAAGTACTATTAAAGTACCAGATCGCCTAGCAGTATCGGTAAGAAGAGTAGTACCGTTACAATCTTAACGATACCCATAGGAGTTGCTGATGTAGCAGGTAGAAGAGTTCAGGAGTTCAGAGAAACAATTTCCCCACGAGGGATTAATAAAAGTCCATCTTATCTTATCTTATTGTATAGTCACTCAATGGAAAGACAAGTATCCCTCTCCGAACAATAGCAAATAAATTCCAACTCCTTGGGGTAATAGCCGATTGGAATACCTACACTTGACACTTAAGGCATCTTGATTCTCCTTGGACTAAACATGTTATGTACCCACAAGGTTCCTAAGCAGTTTAATGGTCCTGATGATGCACCCAAGCTGGATCTTGAATGGGTCAGCACGTGGAAAAACTTGCATACTTGAGAATGGCTGATCCAGTCATTCTACTCCTTGGGACAGCCGTATCAAGGAGAACTTCAGGCAACTCTGTGCAATCTGCATAAAAATGTCTTTAGCTTAGTTTTATATGCTAAAACCAAAGTATTGTCAAACAGAGGAATGCCTTGATTAAACAGTTCTGAGAAGGACAATCACTTGCACTTTCAATTTCAGACTTGGCTTTCCTAAAGATAACGGAAAAGGGATTTGACAAGAATATTACCCAAAGTTGGGAAGCTAACAGTGAGCTTATCAACGTTTCATGTCATTACGTCATTACTTGAGAGAAAATCTATCATGAGAAGCCTCTGTAAATAATTGATGCAAAACATCCTGACCAACAAGTCAGTGGCGTGAGAGTGATGACCGTTCACACCCTCCAGCAGGGCACAGGGTCAAATGTTTCTTGGAGATGGAAATCCTGCGTTCGTTACATAGAGGCTGTGTTCATTTATCTTGGTTAATGGCTAAAACGTGTATCGAAATATAAAGCTAAAAACTGGGCAAACAGTATCACATCACATCATACTACATCAGCTGGTCATTACCATCAAGCACCTCATCACCTTTTAAAGAGGCCCTATTCTGTTTTTAGGGGTTTTCCTCTCCTGTAGTGCATTATATAGGTTCTTGTGCATGAAAATGCTCTGCAAAGGCTAAAATCATAAAAGTTCCCTCCAGAGCAGTGTTTCTCAAACTTTTTCATACCAAGGACCACTTAACCAATAAAAAAACACTCGCGGACCACCTAACTCCACAAATATCAAAAAACACATTGTTTTTCTAGAACAGATTACAAATCGCCTGAAAATGGTACAAACAAGTGGCAACATGTGTGATGAAGGTGTTGCGCTGGGCTATATCATGCAATCAAAAGTGAAACTTAACCTCGGGGGTCATTTGGCTCGGCTCTCTTAAAGCGCCGGCTGTTTCGGCTCCTAAACGGCTCTTCATGTTACCACAGTTTATCGCGGAGCCTCAGTATCGCCGCTGCGAGGCTCCGGCGCTCGCAGTTCACGCGCGTGCTCCACTAAACCCCCCCCCGCTCATTGCTTCCAAATCGTGCACGTTCCGTGTTGTCCGGTAGCAGGCACCTTCGATGTCGGGGAAACGATCTTCAATACTCCGAAAATAATCCCACCAGACTCCTTTGCCCCTCCAACAGAGGGATGTCCTTGTCCTTTTTCCTTTTCGTAATTTCAACGATAAAAACTCTCGATCTTCTCTCGAATTATTAATATAGTTGGACGCCCTCGGCTCGAGTTCAGGGCGTCCCGAGCTGAATAAGGGCGTCAAATGACGGCAAGACGCCCCCCTAGCGGAAACGCTGGCTCACGGACCACCAGTGGTCCGCAGACCACACTTTGAGAAGCACTGCTCCAGAGGGAGTTTTTGCTCGCCCCCCTCACTATGTAACACTTGTGCTTTTATTGGCTAGCCCACCAACCCATTGTGCTTGATTAGTAAGGAGCGGGACATTTCTGACACATCCCTAAGCGGTGTACCAATCACAGCAGAGCGGGCTCTGGTTTCAGACAGAGGGTGAAAAGAGGTTGAGAAAAATAAAAAGCTTTTTGAACATTAAAGCATGGAGACATGTCACAGTAGAGACACAAAATACTGCAGAATACGTCCTCTTTAACATAATAACACAGAACGACAACAGCAAACTACATTTTAGATAGCCTGTGTGTCTCATAGCTTTACAGTCACCATGTACTGTATATGTTCCTTCCTCTGACAGAGTACATAGGGGTAGCTATGGTTGCTACATGATTAGACTTCAAAGTAGTGCAGCACCCAATTTAACTTAAGAGTGAAATAGACAGGATGGTAGAATCAATGGTGTTACCTGTGGAGCTGTGAACATAAAGGAGTTACTGCTCTGCTTCCTGCTGCTTTTGTACTGTTCATACGTTGTTGTGTGAAGTGCATTGATTCCACAAAGGAAATGAGGGTCAACCTAGGGGCTCCGGAACTGATGATTGGATGATAAGTCAGCTGTGGCCTTGGTTAAAGGTCAATTTTAGATCCATTTTTTTTAACAGAACAGAGAATGGGGATTTTGTCCACCATCTTTTACACCGTAGTGATGCTATAAATGGATTGTCTCACTGCCAGAATGGACAGAGGTTGGAGAATGTACAAATGCAATACTGTTTTCTGATAGTTGGGATTTTCTCATGTCTTTAATACAGACTTCTAGTGTGTTGACAAGGAAACAAACTGCTCCAACTCTCAAGCTCACACGCACAATGCCTTAAAAGCTTTTCTCAGTTTTCCAGCACAATCCCAGCCATCATCCCCTTCCCCACCCCCACCTGCCTCTTCTCAAATATTTAAGTGGCACAGAAGCGAGGGGGGCAGATGGATGGAAGTGGTCGTGATCGAGACAGCACCTTCAAAAGAAAGAAAAAAGAGAGATGGTCTCATGTTTAATTCATAACATGTCTCCATCAAACTTGCAGCGGATAATTTCACCCCACCACTGTGTCTATCTTCCCTCTGCCTTTGATAGCTGGGCTCTGATACACACTCATATCCCCTCCGTGGTAACACACAGCGCACACACACGCACCTTTTCCCTTTCCCTGATAGATTGAACAGCCCCCTGCTGTGCCCTCCGCCTCGTTGTTTGTGAGGTTTCTCATTGCTGATTATAATTTCCTGTCTGTCCGTCGCACTCAAATACTGTGAAAGCAGAAATACAGCGACACTCTTCAGAAACATAACACACCTGCTTATTTCTGTATAACGTTTTCCCCATTGTGATTGACAGATGTCGACATTCTAAAGCCGTCTATTTTACAAGCCATTGGTGTTTGAGACAAACTGTTCTATTAAAGTGTAACTGAAATGTATACTACTACAGCATGCACATTTTCTCTGTAATTTACTTGTCCATTGTTTCCAGGAGAAGTGATCAGAAATCAGAATGCTGGTGTATTTTTCATATTTTTGTTTTATTTAATTATATATATATAATCCAGTATCAAGCAGCCACCATGAGAGTCAGTGTGTCTCTGAAATTCTTCCGGGTGAAGTTTTGCCCACATATATTGTCCATACATCAGGGATGCTGCAAGCAAGCCCTGTTTTTCCACAGTGGGTTTCCAAAATGTAAAGCCCATAATTCGACATATTTATGTATCTGTGCAAGTCATTGAAACTTTCTGAAACACATTGCTGAACAAATGTCACAATCAAAGCCTTTGTCAACAAATAAAGGGATTAGGGCCACATACATTCAAATAGGGTTCTGCAGCCTAGATCTTTTAGAAAAATATGACCACTTATTTTCTTAGGCTAGCAAAAAGCGGTGTCTTCTGCATGACTTTACGAAGAAGTTTTGTGGGTTTTTCTGTCCAGAGACTGTAGATTGGATTTGTCAATTTAAGCGTCCAGAAACGATTAATTTGATACATCCTCGTAGGGCTGCTCGATTATGGCAAACATCTTAATCTCGATTATTTGGGTCAATAATTGATATCACGATTATTAAAAACGATTATCCATTTACTTTGGAAACATCCATTTATTGAAAAAAAAAAGTGAACAGTATGTTTTTAACAGTTGATTACCCTGAACTTTAAGTATAATTCAACTCAAAAACCAATAAAAAAATTATATAAAAAAAACTATAATTATAAAAAAATTATCGTTTTATTTCGATTACGTTGTTTTCGTAATCGTTGCAAGCCAAAATCGTAATTGCGATTAAAATACGATTAATTAAGCAGCCCTACATCCTCGTATATTTAGGTATTTTGAATTGTCAATTCAATCCTTAGGCAGAGTGTAATAAAAAGTTTAGTATTAGGCATTATTTCCTAGTTTAAAGAGGCCCTATTATGCTTTTTGGTTTCCCTTTCCTGTAGTCTGTTATATAGGTTTTTGTACACTAAGTAATAATTCACACACAGCTAGAGGTTGCATGTCTGCTATACATAAACATAATTTAAATGTTCATTAGAACAAGCATGTTTTCTCTGTAGGAAAGACTCTCATGAGTCTGTGACTCTGTGATTATTGGTCTGCCCAGATTAACCCATGGTTCTACAAAAAGACATACAAAACCTGTTTTTATAAAAACAGTTTAAAATCCACATGTATATTAGCTCATAATATAATTGAAATTATTAATTAATATTTGACTGAACCATGTCATTTCTTTCTGTGCAGTCAGTAGGTAGTGATTCTGTCTAACTGGCTAACTCATTGGGTGTGACGGTATTTCAACATATAATGTGAAGTAATGTGAGAGACAGAGTGAGGATGTTTCCACACTGTTAGAAGCTTTCAGAGTATTGATTTAAATCATGGCTGACACTTTGCCTCGGGTACTCAGGAAGCAGCTGGCTCTCACACACAGGTCAGGCAGTTTGTCCGCGACACACAGGGACAACAGGACAAAACACAATGTACCCCAAACATGTATGATTTCTCAGATTTGAATCTCACAAAGGAATTAATAGACATGGGATTACTTATTGGAACTAAGATGATCCTGCAACATTTTAGATAACAGTTCATTTAGATGGCGGTATATACCCATACAGAACGTTTTGGGACAATTTATTTAACTGGAAACTGGTTCAAGAATGAACTTTGAACAGCAAGGAAGGACAGTGTTTCTGAAATAATATGTTCTGTTGCAAGTCTTAACGGAGAGGAAGTAAGAAAGGGAGGCAAGGAGAAAGATCAGAGTGAAAATGAAGAGGGCTAATCTGAAATAATAAAATGGAAATTAGAAGTCCTGTGGGCTACGGACAGATGAAGTGGCTGTATATATTTCAGAACTTTCCTTGTCTGAAAGTCAATGTTTGGCTAAATGAGACTACTAAACGTCATCATAACGAACATTAGCCACCTTTAGCTTAGCCGCAGTGACGCCCAGCTATGCGACTTGATGTACTTCATTTAAAGTTTTTCACTCATTACAGATAACTCCATAGTAACATACAGGAATGCAGACCAATACTAGTGACCATGTTGCACCTCTGAGTTTTGGTTAGCATTGGTTCCAGTGCCAGAGTCATGGCGGTACATCTGTGGCCCAGTGGCATCTCTTGCTAACTGCTTGAAGCTAACCAAACAGGACATCATTGATGAGCTACTGCTGTGCAGCCTCTTCTCACCCTGCTCTGTCTCTCTTTCTCTCCCTCAGGAGTACACCATTGATGTTTTCTTCCGCCAGAGTTGGAAGGATGAGCGATTAAAGTTCCACGGACCAATGAACATTCTGCCTCTAAACAACCTGATGGCCAGTAAGATCTGGACGCCTGACACGTTCTTCCACAACGGCAAGAAATCTGTCGCCCACAACATGACCATGCCCAACAAGCTGCTGAGGATCATGGAGGACGGAACCTTGCTCTACACTATGAGGTAGGCGGCTCTAACAAAGTAATGGCTAAATAGAACACAAAGATGAAGTCGTTGAACATCCGATAACACAATCCAGACAAGCAAAGATACATTTTCTATGGCTATAAGCATTTGTTGTTGTTTAAGGGGAAAAACTTAGATCACTAAGTCTTTAAGTATATCCGCAAATATCATTTAAACCAGTCAACCAGCCAGGCTTGGGGAGTAAAGTATTACATGTAATGGGATTACTTAATCAGGATACAAAAAAGAAAGTAACTATGTTTATTTATAGTTACAAAAACAAGATGTAATTAAATTACTTTTAGACTTCCTTAGCAGGATTATGATGTTAGTAAAAATCTAAAAAGAGCATATAGTGTTTGTTGTAAAGGATCAGATGTTATCTCTTCTCTTAGAGCTGTTCTGTAGGATAACACTTTCAGTGTGGATCTATACGCCTACTGCCTGAATCTGCTTTATGGTTTTCACTTTCTTTGCTTCAGCAGGTGAACCTGTATGTTCATAAAATAGTGTGTGTGAGCTTAACTGTGTGTGTTAAACTAAAACAGAGCATTTCCTGTCAGCTCAGATTTTATTATTTATTTATTTTAATTGATTTAGTATCTGCTCATGTGTTTCATTTCACAGCATTTGACATTAAGATAACCCAAAAGTAACAAACACATATTTGTACAGGTAACTACTAATTATAATGGAAACATTTTTAAACTAACCCTCTCAGTTAATGTGAACTATGAAAAACATAAATCATGAACAGTGTTGGACCAATGTATGTTTTCTTTCCTGATGAAACATGGATGGACATATAGAGATATTAGGTCATTAAATGTCCTCCTAGTAATAGACCCAATTGCATGGCAATCGATCCAATAGCTGTAGTGATTTGTTTGTCTTCCAGTGACCGGCATCGCCATAGATAAAGATATGGATAGTAGTTGGTTTTGGCAATATACACATGCGGACACTTTGTTCTGTGCCTTATAAACCAGAGTGCATCATCTACACTCTATTTAATAAATCACAACTATGATATAACTAATAAAACTGTTGAGATACTATTATTCTAGATTACATTTGACTCCCTGGTGGGACTTTATGGTCATAGTGTTCAGGCCACAGCAACAACACAATAACTCATACTGACAGTTGACAAAAAGGATTGGGTAATAAAGAGGACTTCAAAACCAAGCAGAGGTGTCTTTACCAGCACCTTCAAATAGAATACAAAACAAAATCCATAGTGCGCAGCAAGCTTGCTACCTCACATTTTATGGGAAGAATTTGTCAAGACCTCTCAGCTGTATCTTTTGACGCCCTATACTTTAGTTAGGAAGAGAATCAAGTGTTGTAGGGAAGACATTGTCTCTTTATGCCTCTGTGCAGCAATAAACCAAGCAGATCAAAACTGTTATTTCTGTATCCATATTTGTGTGTGTGCGTTTAGGTTAACGGTTCAAGCCGAGTGCCCCATGCACCTTGAGGACTTCCCAATGGACTCCCACTCCTGTCCTCTGAAGTTTGGCAGCTGTAAGTGTGTGCACATCATCCACACTGTGCATCCTTAACCTTTGCATCATTTAAAAGGAGCAGTATGCAGGGTATGGCCAGATATTGTTAATAATACATCCACAGTCTATGCAGTTTTGGATGTTTATTGCAGATGCCCAGAATCCACACCATCTCCTTATCCTCATTGCAACAAATAACATGTCCCCAATCGAGAGGCAGTGGTAACTCATTCACACTGTGTTCAAACATCAAGATTTGACACCAAGAAGCATATCGCTTCATTTGCTGCCTTTGTCTTTATAGCAGTAATGATTACATTTTCTACACTGTAAAAAAAGATCGTAATTTTACAGGAAATAACTGTAAATTTGTATAGTAATTATCATGTTTTTTTAAATAACTTGCAAAATCCTGTAAAATGACAGATATTAACTATAAATTAACAACCCAAAACATTATTTGAAGTATTTTGACAATAACAACAAATAACGTTTATTTCCTTTTTTTTTACTGTAAATTTACTATATAATATTTACAGTATTTTTGCACTTTCAGAAAATACATGCAGATGTACGTAAAATAAAATGTTTTTATCTGTAATTAAATATGTAACTCGTAATATAAAAGTGTATTACTATTATAAGACTTTAAGATGTTCTTTGTAATTTTAAGGTAAACATAAAACTGTAAGAAAAGCGTAAAATAAAAAAACCGTAAAATGTAAGTAAAACATTTTTACATCAATCATTTTCTCAATATTCGATTGAATCCAACAAAAACACAAAATATCCAATGTTGAAACAAAAGTAAATAAATATGTTTTCATGAAATTCCTAACTTACTATATTGTAAACATCTACAGTTGACAATATCATTAAAAAAAAAAAATCATAGAAAGTTGAGAAATCTCTGCAGGGAGGACCAAGGTTTAAAACACACACTGTTATTTACTCAACAATAAGTCACAGTTATCCTTGTTTTATTTATGTGTTCTGTTGCTGTGTTTTTTTTCCATTGGTCAATTTACAGTAATAAACCTTAGTTTTACAGTATAATGTATGGTTTTCGGATTCTGGCCGACAGCCAGAGCTACGGCACTTGAAATAGAATTCAGCCAAAACACGGCAGACAAGTCAGGCATGTTTGGAATGAGTCCACAACACTCCTGATTGGTTAATATAAACATCATCGAAGAAACCTGCCAATGAGAACTGTCCGCGCCTGTCGTTCACATTTGAAACATCCAAGTCAGTTTGAGCGGGTCTCCTCCTGCTGGAGCTACAGCTGTCTGTGTGTCTGCTGCAGGAGTTTATGGATTAATATCGGGATCGTTTTACATCTACACGTTAAATATGAGCATCGGGACGTCAACAAAGAACAGAAGACTTGAGATCTGGTGAGTCCTGCAACTGTAATGGAGTTAAACATGTATTTAGATAATCCTTACTTAGTTTGTGAATGTTTTATTTTTTATTTAAGGTTACGTTTCTTCTTCTAGTTAGCTGAGTTTCTTCCGGTTAAGTTGGTATGCATAATTAATAGGTTGTTAAATGTTAAGAAGCCCTGAGATGCTGTTTCTTGCAAGATGTTGCGCCCGGGAAACCCGGCTTAACATGCGGCTGCTAACGTTAGCTTAAAGCTTATTGCAGTGCCGCCCCCCCCACCCTCTCGTCTCCAACACGGGAGAATTACACATAAACATGCAGTGGGGTATCACAGTGTTGTCGCCAAGTTTAATGTAAAGTTTCACAGCTTTCTTACAGCGGAATCTAGTTTCAGTAGCCAACAGCTAGCATAGCATAAACAGCTAACCGCTAACGTTCGGCTAATTTGCTAGTTAGCTCTGCTCTATATATTACACGCTAACATGACTAGCTAATGTCACACTGTGAACTAAAATACTTTTTGTATTACTACATCATACATGCTTGGTCCAAATCACTGCTAAAATTAATTATTTTTGAAAATGTATAGTAAAGAAACACTCAGCCATGCATGAAATAACATGGCAAAAGAATACGGGTAATGTTTGACCCATGTTGTGCCTTAGAAGTGTAGTGATACAAACATGATTTTTATTCAAAAAGTAAGAAAGGGACAAATAAAAATTAGAATTGGTGTTGATCCAAAACATGTTAATTGAGGAATACCTGGGATCCTGAATGGTTAAAGTAATTTATTGCAAAGATATTTACAATTAAAACTAATTCGGGTCACTTTTGACACATGTTGGTTGTATGTTGTGTAACAAAGGGTTAACGTGACAGCTGTGATGTTCACTCTTTTGACAGAGCACCATTGGACAGTGAGGACTATGGAAGAGAAGATGTGATGGCTTTGTGTGGAAAGCTGCTAACGCCAGCCTGTGTCCCTCTCATCAGTCTCTCCAGGCAGCACCCAGCTATTCTTCCATCTTGCAGATGGAAAGACAGATAGAAAGATGGAATATGTGAGTAATAACTAACTTGTGTCTAACATAATATTGAATGTGGTTTAGTAAAGTATTTAAAAATACCCCACATTGTACATGTACAGGACAATCAGACCTTGTTCAACAGAGATAATCAGACAATTGTTTTGTCTTTGAGGTACAGCCCAGCAGAGAGTCTTGAGTTTGAAGAAAACACTAACATTTTATTTAGTGTTGTTTAATCAATCAATATTTACTGGTCTTGAATTTCCTCACTGGATTACAAAATGCTCGAATCTTATTGTACAGGAACATTATGCAGATTTCATCACCTGAAGATAAAAATATAGATTCAGCGATATGTACCATTTTAAGGAAATAGACTGTTAGCGGTATTTACCAAAGCTCCGCAGCTGTAGCTAGGCACTGCTAATGAAAACTCAAGTGCTCAATTTGTTGGTTTTTCTTTTTTATTAAGAATTGACCAAGCATATCTTCCTCTTCGAAATCCCAGTTGTACTTCGCTAACACGCAGTGCCTGGGAGGGTGCGTTTGATTGTTCCCACAATAGTGCGTGCGTGCGCTTGTGCTTCAAAGGTCCATCATACAAGATGTAGGGGATCTATTGGCAGCTGCTGATAATAACATCCATCATTATGGTTTACTAATAGTTATCACTTCACTTCCTCCTCCAGCATCTGGACACAGCAGGAACCTACGCCAGGATCCTGTTTGTGGACTTCAGCTCTGCCTTCAACACAACACTCTGGCTGGAGGCTGTGCTCCATCAGGACCAACACCTCTCTCCCTCAGGACCAGAACCTCTCTCCATCAGGACCAACACCTCTCTCCATCAGGACCAACACCTCTCTCCATCAGGACCAGAACCTCTCTCCATCAGGACCAGAACCTCTCTCCATCAGGACCAAAACCTCTCTCCATCAGGACCAAAACCTCTCTCCATCAGGACCAACACCTCTCTCCATCAGGACCAACACCTCTCTCCATCAGGACCAACACCTCTCTCCATCAGGACCAACACCTCTCTCCATCAGGACCAGAACCTCTCTCCATCAGGACCAGAACCTCTCTCCATCAGGACCAAAACCTCTCTCCATCAGGACCAAAACCTCTCTCCATCAGGACCAACACCTCTCTCCATCAGGACCAAAACCTCTCTCCATCAGGACCAAAACCTCTCGCCACCTCAACAAGGCCCCCCCCCCCCCACCCCACTGACACTTTATCTCAGCCACAACGCAGACTCTATGCATTACATAATGGAGATCACAGGATGGTAAATAATGCAATGTTTAAATATTGCTTACTGCACATATTTTATATTCTATAATTTATTGCATTCTATTTCGATGTAAGTTACTGCTTTATTTTATTTCTATCTTACTATATTTTTATTACAGTGTTCTTAATATAGTTCGCTATCTGTGTACTTTTTAATTTTTTTTATTTGTATGTCGTGGTGCACGACACCTAGTCAAATTCCTCGTACGTGTGAACCTACCTGGCAATAAACCCGTTTCTGATTCTGATCGGTTTGTCCTCTAGGTTGCACTGCCACGTCTACAGTAGCGCAGAATGGACAGAGGAAACATGATTGGGCCTCAAGTTTTTTGCAGCCAATATTCATTTATCCTACAGGGGCGGCTAGTGGAGTACTTCGTGACCACAAAGTGTGAACGTTGTGATCAGCTGTTTTAGAGCAGTTCTCCAGTGAAGGGGGGGGAGTCTCCCTCCGCAGCCGGTTGGCGTAGTTTTGGCACAATTCCGTTGTACAGACCGACGTTAACAGCAACCCTGTCTGTGCACACGGAGACCGACTCTGTCGTCCGGTGATCTAACCGCCTTCTGGAAAAGCTTCACAAGTACGTCGGTAAGCAAATGCGCTTTGTGACACAAGTGACGGTACGCATTTCAGATTACGCACATAATCTGCGTACCAGTTATGTGCACCCCTGTACTACAGCAAAAGTATTCTCCGTCGGGACTTCCTGCAACAACACCACGCCGTTATCAAAGATGTTCTATTGAGAAGACGATCACTACGTGACAAAAGTTTTCAAAACCGTGGCTACTGAAATCAATCTTACTAACTGCTGTCTGTGCAATTTACTCCGCGTGTTGGCAGACTTTATTTTGCTTACTTTAACATCATTTTTCATGGTGGGGCTAAGCCATTTCTTGGTATGGGTGTAGCCTACCCCAGCCATACCCTGGCGCTGCCACTGGTGGCACGTATGGGGCGGGCCATTCTGCACATGCGTTAAATATGTTAAATATTTTAACGCAATTAATTCAAAAAATTGATTACCGCCGTTAACGCGATAATTTTGACAGCACTCATTTTAAGTTTTCAGAGTAATTGTTTCCTACAGAACATTTTGTGATGTCATTTTGTTGAACCTGTTTGATTGGAAAATGTTAGAAAAAAGCTGTAAGATAACAGTATTCTAACTTTAGGTTCTGTATTTATTTTAGTGTTTGATCATACAAATCTAATAAAAAAAATGTAAACTGTTTTTCTCATCAGAACTTTATTTAAGGTATTTTAATGTAACATTTTAAGACAATGGATTTTGAAAAGAGAGGAAAGTTTCCTCTAAAATCTTTAAGGACAATTTCTGTATACTAATTGCTTTTGCACTTTATTTCAGTTAATGTATTTTTACTTTAATTGAATGTTTTTTGTTTGGCAGCCGCTGCTGCCAGTCATTTGACCGTTTTTTTACGGGTTTTTTGCCCGTATAAGTTTTAGTGCTGTACTTTTATTAAATGTTATTGACTGTTATAAGAGAGGATAAATCTGTAAAATTACAGTGTTTTCCTGTAAAATCTTTAAGGACAATTCCCGTAAATTAATGGCTTATTCACTTTATTTCAGTTAAAGTATTTTACTTTAATTTAAGGGTTTTTGTTTGGCAGCCGCTGCTGCCAGTACTTTGACCGTTTTTTTACGAGTTTTTTTTTTTACAGTGTACGCTACAATACAGTGGAAATCCAAGCATTTCAATGTTTGCTTCAAAATTACAAGCGTCCCTAAGCCATTCTAGAAATCTACAATAAACATCACATTTTTAATATCACACTTTGGTTTAAACCAGGGGTGTCAAACTCAAGGCCCGGGGGCCAAATCCGGCCCGTTACTTCATTTTATGCGGCCCCACAAGAGCTTGCAAAGAATATAATGTTTATTATACGGTTCCATGCCGCTTTACAGAAGCACGTTGCCCATAAACTACATGTCCCACAATGCATCTCAAATTAGACTTTTTTTCTCAGAATCTGCCTTTTTTTCAAAATGTCATTTCTTTTCACTTTTTTCCCAGAATGTGGCTTTTCTTTTTAAATCATTTTGTGACATGCGCACTGAAGAGACTTGCAATTATTTGCCCTAGACTTCTGCTTTCAGACGTAGTTAGTTATGAAGTTATTACCCTATGTGATAATAATCTAATGCAGAGGCAATAATGTAATATAATACATTATTTTACATATATTAAAAATGTATATATGTATTTTTATATAGTCTTATATATAAAACTGGCACTTTGAGTGCAACCATGATGCTAATGTGGCCCGAGATGAAATTGAGTTTGACCCCCCTGGTTTAAACAGTTTATTTTGATTATATAGCTGCACAGGAGAAAAACTGTGACGAACAAGAAAAATTCACTTCTTGTATTCTTTGACAATGTGTAAAAATACAACTTCTGAACCAACCACCCAATACTATACTGTTCATGAAGTGATAAGACTGAATAATAGGTGGGACTCGCTGTATAATAATACCTCTCTTGAAGTCAGGATGGGTGAGCTGCTTTATTTGATCTGTAAACATTACCAGCTACTATGAAATTGTCTCCTATTATGCAAAATCCACTTTTTCATTGTCTTTTATACATAAACAAGTGTCCCCTCTGTGTTAAGAGATTCTGAACGTTTCAGGAAAAAACCTGTCTGAAAATGAGCTGATCAGATTTTGGCCACTTTATACTCCGTTGTAAAATTGTGTATACATGACACAAAGGGAGTTGGAGGACTGGTGTGTTCAATGTCTCCTTGCTCTGTGCAGATGCCTACACTAAGACAGAGGTGACTTACATCTGGACTCATAATGCCTCCCAGTCAGTGGACGTGGCGGCTGATAGATCCAGACTCAACCAGTACGACTTGGTGGGCCAGACGGTGGGCAATCAGACCATTAAATCCAGCACTGGTGAGCAGCATGCACTAACTTCAGTCTGACAAACAGAAGTACCATACCAGTGCCTGGACACATTACAAGGTCTGCCCAAATTTCTCATTTGCCGATATCCATGTGGTCGTCTAAGTGGCTGCTTCAGACTGTACATGCATACCTTAGGCGGCGACATCACATTTCCCAACACCTATGAATAGTTCCAGTGTAGTATAGACAGTCTAATGCGGACCCAATGCTCTGCTGTCTACTTCTTTGGCTGCTTTTGAATATAATTGTATTTTATTGTTAAAAATGTTTCTGAAATTGTGATTAATAAAGTACATCTTATCTTAAATTAAATTAATCCACCTCACATTGCCAAACACGCTATAGTGTACTAGTGACTGTTAACAAAAACTCACCTTTTTAGATTAGCTTTTAATGTGTGATTAATGTTGTGTCCTAGTGTTAAATATTGTTGTGTGACCTTTCTTTTTGTAATCTTTGTAAAGCACCTTAGAGCACTTGTAAAAGCGCTTGGTAAGTACAATGTATTATCATTTTAATATGAGTGATGGAGCTTAGGCCGGAAACACTGCCCTAGAGCCATCTCCAGGTGCTCTCACTGATGTTCAGGTGTAGATGCATACATGCCGAACTGGAACTGGCAAAAGCTATCGAGGGAACTTGATACATTGAAGATCAAATAGGAACACGAATGCTATGGGAATAGAGCATAGGGAACACAACATTTTATTAAAGCTAGGGGAAGAAAAAACAGCATCAAGAGCGACAAGCAGACAATGAAGTGAAGGTGGTACTCTGTCTCGGTTGAGAATATCTTTCTCTATGTGTTTTATGGCATTAAGTACTCTCACTTCACTACTCTTGGAAGTTGTTGTTATCCTCAGCCTGAAGGAAGTCGAGGAGTGGAAAGGGAATACAGAGCAGCAGCAGCAGCTCAGCTCACAGCATCACAGGGACAGAAAACAGTGACTTAAACACACCGAGAGATACACTTAAGGAAACACAGGGAGTGATCAAAGCCCACTTTAAAAACACACACACAATTGGGGTTTTCTCAGATGTTTATTAAAATACAGTACCTAATTGTAACAATACTCTGTCCTGCAATCCGAATTTGAACTGAAAGTACAAAACTATTCATAAAAAAATACATCAAAAGCATCAAATTATACTAAAAGTAAAAGTACTACATGTAGTGGAATTAAAAGTACAACACTAAAATGAAGTAAAAAGTAGCATCAAATAAAAGAAATTCAAGATTATAATTTTTTTAAATATTGAATGTACTTTCTTATATTCCTACACTGCACACAACACATACAGTAGTGTCTCATTTGCAAACTTCTGTACAAACATTAGCTGTTTTGAGCCGTGTGCTATTTGAGACAGCGCTACACTGCCAAGATTCATGAATTTCTACTGTAGTATTCACAGTGTACTAATTTAAAAGTTTCCAAATAAACACAGTAAAATAAATGTGTATGTAACATGAATATAATACCATGCATACCTTATTTATGCCACCTTTTATCAGTCTACTCATAATACCCAGGTGTGTCTGATGTGTGTGAGCATCCCCACTCAGCTGACCCTCTCTCCTCAGGTGAGTACACGGTGATGACGGCTCAATTCCACCTGAAGAGGAAGATCGGATACTTTGTGATCCAGACGTATCTGCCCTGCATCATGACCGTCATCCTGTCTCAGGTCTCCTTCTGGCTCAACAGAGAGTCCGTGCCTGCCAGGACGGTCTTTGGTGAGTGGTTCATATTCACATGGCATAGAAAGAAAATAAATGTTAAACATGGCTGTAGGATACAGTAAATGTATCATTATACTCTTTCAGAAGTCATTCCATCTTGAACCCGACAGTAAATAACACAAAACTCTTAATATGAAAGATCAATAACATAGGGAAGCCAATGATGAAATGTAATGCATGTTATTACACTAGCAGCACAATGTATGGTGCCAAAACAAACATACTTTTTGTAATAATCAGGAAGATTACAAAAATATGTTACCAAGTATTCCAGCAGGAATATGCAGGCATGTATTTGATGAGTATTGGAGCAACTCAGAGAGCGATGAGTGACTTAATGGATTCACAAACAAAACATTTATATAATACCCTTTTTAAAGATCTGAAATGATTGCGAGCATGGCTCCTTCTGATAAGTGAGCTCTGAAGGAGTTACAAGAGAGCAACTATAAACACATGCAGGTCCTAAAACACCCTCTGGACCAGGTACCTGCTATTAAACACTATTAGAACAGACAGTCACACTGAAGGGGGTTTTGTGAAAGAGTGACAAATAACCCCAGGTCAGATTGTATCTCTTTCCATAAACCTTGCTGTGTTAAAACATTTCACCCTTTTCCGCAAAACTTACCATTGTTTGACTTTTGGGGTGAACTTTGGTGAACCACTTTTCAAATGTGTTTATTATTTAAAAAAAATCCCCCCAAATTACACCCATGCCCTATATACATTTAGTTAAACAAAATAAATGCAGTTTAATTGAATTGTGAGTGCAGGGGGAATTTGTAACTTATTTAGTTTTATCTTAAGAGCCAAAGGGCTGTGCTAAGCAAACAGTTCAGACCCTGGGATGAAATACCCGCAGTACCTCAATTTGTTGTGTTACTTTGACAGCAACCCTTTGCTTCATGCCGTCGGGTCTCTTTACTCATTTCCTGTATATCTTCAGCTGTATTATTAAAGAAAAATTAGGTGGCTAATTTAGCTTAGCATCAGTACTCTGCCCAGTGTGTTCTGGGCATGCCAAACACACGGTTGCTATGAATACAGAGAAGGTATCAGTAAATGTAGAGGAGCATGTTGAAGCCTGGGGGAAAAAGGCCGATCACATTCACATCCACACACCGGCAAATGTTTCCCCAACACAAACCAACTCCTCTCCTGAACTGCAGCTCTTCTCTGCCAGGTCTCCCTCCTGATTGGTTACTGTGAGCTTGTGCTGACTCGTTTATCAGGCCGACGCAGGCAGAACCTCAGAACAGGGTCAGGCTGCAGTGAGGCCTCAACAGGCTCATCAGGCCGAGGAGAGTGGACCCACAGCTGCGCTCTGACTTCCTGTTTGGGCAGCTGTCTGCGGCTGACATAATGCTCTGTTTGCAGTTATCCACGCAGCATAATGCACGCAAATAAAGCCAGTCCTAATCTATTGTGACAAACAGGGCAGCAGGAAAGGTTGTGTGGAAGGCATTTTGTGACTTAAGGTAATTTTGCAAGGTCCTAGCATCAGAGATATCAAATCACAAATGAGTTCACCTGCATTGATCAGTGTCTTATTTATTTTCTGTATGCGTTCCATACATGCCAATTACTTTTTGGATACACAACCTTCAAAGGTCATCATTTTAAGGTTTCATACATACAGAGTTTTGCCCCTCAGAATCTACAAATTGCTGGTGTTATGACCAACTATCGCAAAAACAAACTGACAGCTAACTTGGACGCAAGATTAAAGAAACAAAGCAATGTAGAAGGCTTGGGCCTGTCCCAGAGTCCTGCATCGGGTCGGGTACCCGACGGGTGACCCGCAAAAAAGGTGATTCGCGGGTGGTATTTTTTTCAAACGGTTTTTTCCGGGTTCGGTTCTGGGTAAAACAAAGATGATGCGGGTCGGGTCGCGGGTATTGCATAATAAATATATTAAAATAATAATAATTTAGTTTAATGTTTAAATCCTCAGACCTCTCCCCCGCGGGACCGGGCATAATCATAACCTCTGCAGCGCATCAATCTGCTGCTGAGCGCGCCACATTAGAAATGGCTGAGGTGAAGCTCTCTAGCGGAGAATACAGCATTTACAATAACACTTCCTCAAGAGCGAAATCCAACGTCTGGGAGGCTTCTGGTTCCTAGATGGAGAAAATAACCAACATCCCACGCTTTTTGAGACAAATATGCAACTGCGTGTGTTAATAATTGCACATTTTCACTGCTCATATACACTGTATGGTTCGGGTCGGGTTGCGGATCTTGTGCTGTCGGGTCGGGTTGCGGAACTAATTGGCAATATGTGCGGGTAGCGGGGCGGGTTCGGTATTGCACGTCGCGGGTGCGGGGCGGGAGCAACACACTCTCACTCCATAATCGTCCAGGAGCGACGTTTGGTCAGTGTCCGTGGCGTCCAGTTGTGATGCTCCTAGGCTCCTTCAGCGTCATAAAGGGCCGCAAATAGCTTTCAACTGATTGCAATGCATCTGCGGCGGGATTTCACGCTCATGGAAGCACGGCATTCGTTTGTGTCGGCTGCCCTTAAAGGCAATGTGAGCGTCCATTCCCATTGGATAACGGAGAATTGTACACCCGGAAGTAAGTATTCCCCTTACTGTCGATTGATTTTACAGTGATATCTGCACTACTCATCGACTAAAAAACACCAGATTATCCTTGTTAATTACACAACATTGATTGGTTTAAATTGTGTGCAATGCTTTTGTATTTTTCCCCTTCGATTCGGAGAAACAAATATGTTTTCGGAGTAAAGGATGGCAGAAGACACTACACTACCCAGAATCCCCAGCTATCGTTTAGGACTACACCATGTGCTCTGTTTGACAAACCCCGTGATTAGTTCTCAAGCTCTGTGATTGGTTGACCTCCAACTGCATTCAATATGAAAAAAACGTTCTCCATTATCCAATGGGAATGGTGGCTCACATTGCCTTTAAGGGCAGCCGACACAAACAAATGCCGTGCTTCCATGAGCGTCAAATCCCGCCGCAGATGGGAATACATTGCAATCAGTTGAAAGCTATTTGCGTCCCTTTATGAAGCTGAAGGAGCCTAGGAGCGTCACAACTGCACGCCACGTGACCCTGACCAAACGTCGCTCCTGGACGATTATGGAGTGAGAGTGTGTTGGCGGGAGCGGGTCTTGAAAATCAGACCCGTGCAGGACTCTGAGGTGGGAAGTAACAGTACTGTACTTAAGTAGATTTTTCAGGTATCTGTACTTTACTTAAGTACTTATTTACTTTTACTCCCTACATTTTAAAACAAATATCTGTACATTCTACTTCTTACATTTTCAAAACAGGCTCGTTACTTTCGTTTTAATGCATGTGAGGTGAATTATCAATTATTTTAATTTTGCATCATTGTGGGCCTTCCCCGACATCAAGACTGATTTAAAACTAAATGAATGTGACAATAACACGTAGAGAAGATGAGCCGTGATGTGCAGATCATGCACGACAGACGAAAACGTAAAAGACGTGTGTTGTAACAGCTTGGCAGAGACGTTAAGGGAGAAAGGTCTAACAGCATAATGTCCATGAGTAACGCTAGTACAGTGAAGATAACATGGACGGAGGCAATTCATCAGACCACCAGCAAGACATCCCACATCCATGGCCTTACTTGAGGGAGATGTTTGAAGTTGTGGGCGCAAAATGATTCGTGGCGAATGCACTATAATCATTTGTTTAAGCCTATATTAAGGCAAAGTAACCCATCTACAATGTTTGCGACAGCAAATACAGGTACTTTGTTTTTGTTGTTCACGCTGAATACATTCAGAATGGCAGTAATACAAGTTTTACACAAGTATCTGTACTTCTACTTAAAGGTGAGGTAGGTAATTCACTTCAGAAACACTTTGTTATATTCCATGGAATGCTCTTAACATCCCGATAGCAATGAATATATAAAATGCTTTGACAATAAATACATTAAAAATGTCATCTGTGGAAGCCGTAGTACTGTAAAAAGTACGACCAATCATTTTAGTCGGCCCGGCTAAAGTAACTGGATGGCCTACCTTCCTGTCAGCCTTCCATCTGTGCACACACTTATCTCGTGCCCTCATTGGTCATGTGCGCGTTCGTGTGTGTTGGAGGAGGGGCTCTGTGAGGAAGTCTGAAGGAAGAGGCAGATTTGTTCCGGTTGTGTGCTTTCAAATTCTAGCGCACTCAAGCTGGTTTCTCCATTCTTACCTACCCTACCTTTAATAAGAGAGTTTGTACTTTTGCCACCTCTGCCTGTCTCCACATAGGGACTTTTTCTGAGCGCCAGCGTCTTTTTTCAATTGGTTCCAAAGAGTAGTGAGCGCATGATGCACATGAAAATATTTCAACTCTTCTGAAAATGGCTGGTGATGTCACTGCAGAATTTTAAGGAGATGATTGTTTTTGGGCAATGGCTGTCAGACAGAAACATAGACGCTCGATGTTGCTGCCGAGCGTCTTTTATCTCTGTATGAGGGTCCTCCGCTTCTTCTCGCTGTACGGATACCAGACTGAGCAGTGAAGCTCAATCATTCAAAGTGTGAGAGCAAGAATCTTCTGGTTGGAGCTAATGTTGAAAATACAACAAAGTAGCCAATAAAAGTCAAGAGGGCAAAGTTATTCTGTCTTACAAAAGAGGTGTCAGGTTGACAAGACATTGTTTTCATACAAGCATACGGTATAAAAAGCATTGGTAACGTCTTTTGATGAAACGCTGAGAAGAGGCTGTGCCCAGCACCCTTCCAGCACATTTCTGCCAGAAAATACCCAATGTGGACACATGGCCCTAGTCTACACCATCTGGAAAAGACATCTGCAGTAAACAGTGAGGTGTTCAATGTTAGCCGGAGCTCCACCCAGACCAGGAACGCAACAAAACAAACCTTCAGCACATTCTAACGCCAAAGGGAGCTTTCATATGAACAATACATCTAAAATGTGCCTTTTGCTAAATATATTTTTTTATGCTGAATACTTAATTGTCCTCTATGCTTTGCCCTCTCTTCCCAGGTGTAACTACAGTCCTCACAATGACCACCCTGAGTATCAGTGCCCGTAACTCACTGCCGAAGGTGGCCTATGCTACAGCCATGGACTGGTTCATCGCCGTCTGCTATGCCTTCGTCTTCTCTGCACTCATTGAATTTGCTACCGTCAACTACTTCACCAAGCGGGGGTGGGCCTGGGACGGGAAGACCATCGTCAACGAGAAGGTAGAGCTGTCCCGTTTCTCTTCTGGGTCCATCAGTAAGGCCATTAGCAGTCTTCATTGCTTCATCATCATCATCATTTGGTTATGTTGGCTCAAAAACTACCTTCACATGATCAGCGGTAAAAATGGATCGGGCTGACATTCTCAAAGTTCAAAAAATGGCCAACGACCCTTCAACACACCTGTACCTCTCACCTCTACTACAATATCTCCACTGGTTCATTCTGTACAACATATATTTCCATATTCCATCACTCTGCTGCAGTTTTTCCCAGTTCTCTCCCCAGTTTATTGAAATGCATTAAACTCAGGAGAAAACTAAGGTTTTCGGAGGTTCCCCACCCCCAATCTCTGGAGGTGCTTTCACGCCGTCTTAAATTGACAGGCAGACAGAGGGCCAGTTTCAGTGTCAATTCAGCTGCCATTACTAGAGGGGCAAGAAACTGGCAGCAGCTACTTTTAGGGCTGTCACTGAAAGAAAAGTACAAACAGTATGTGGTTGTAGTGCTGGATGTGTATCAAGCAATCAGATGTCAATCTCTTTCAAAGGCTTCTTGTTTGCAGGTACACTTTTCTTTGTTAAAACAGCTATTCGATTCAGCCAAGGTACTGTACAGTAGCATATATACTGTACATTTACAATTCTATTTGAACCTGTACAACTTGCCATACAATACAAGTTGATCATCAATTCCTGGTGCTTTATGGCAGTGGTTCACGGGTCCGTAGAGTTTTTTTTAAATTAATTTTGTAATACATTTTCATAAACCTTGGGTCCTGACTAGTTCTGTGTTATAGTTGCAGTTCCTTCCGGGATGGTGTTGATTGTAACACCTCTGTGGATCACATTCACACTGTGGCATATGGATAGCAATTAGCTAACATTAGCTGCAAAGTGGCAGTAAGAAAGAATGCATGGTTAGGCAGGGATAAACGCACAGCTACCGGTGCCTGCGCTGTGAAACCGGGTTTAGGAGAGCCCAGTGAAGAAAAACTAAAGACCAAACACCATGGGACTTATATAATGGCTACCAGCTCAAGGGGTACACCAGACAAAGGTCCCTCCCATGCTTGGTTAGGGTTCCCTGTGCATCTGTGTATCTTGACCACGAGTTCCTTTCTGTTGTCTTTTACACCTTCATTGTCCCCAAAAGGAATACCACCTTTTTGCAATTAAGTCTTTTGACAGCCATTGATGGTATTCAGGGAATACTTTGACTTCGTTGGTGTTGATTACACATTCCTAACACAATTGTATGAACAGCATGTAATGACACAGTCTGTCAGCTCATGGGTGTGTCTGCATGAGTCAAAAACATATCCCAGTATGTAGTCCTAAAACAGCACCTTAGTTGGGAATCAGTGGCTCTCTTCCAGACTCAAATAGTTTTCTCGTTGTCTTTACTTGGGCTTTACGTGAATTGTAACCTCATTCAGCGTATTGTTAGGTGGCCTTGAGTTTGATAAGTAATCAAGTAGTTATACTTTGGTTATGAAGAAGAAGATGAAGAAGACGATTCAACTTATTGTCATTACGTAGTACAGGTACTATGTAACAAAACGGTTTCTCTGCATTTGACCCATCCTAGTGTTAGGAGCAGTGGGCTGCCATTATGTACGGCGCCCGCATTATTTTGTTATATATTAAGCTTCTGTCAATTAAAAGCCACACTTTCTGTATAGAGGTGTCACATTTCCTTATTGGATCCTTAACACGATAGAAACAACAGTTAAAATGAACAGCAGAAGTTACTTCCCTTTTTTTGTCCCATTTGTTTTGCCTCATTGTCATTTAAATGGGTAATAACACAGTTACACTGCCTATGTATAGTATAATTGATAAATGGGCATTTCCCTACAAAATAAAATTATACAGGAAACAGTATTTTTGCTTAGGAGAGAAAATGGGGAGGTTTTTCTAGTTAGTGAAAATACACATTATGCTGGCTGTATCATGCTTGCCATTATTGCGAATTATTGCGAATTGTTTAAGTTGGAATATTTTCTTTAAATGTCTAACCCTGTGGCCTTTTTTCACACAGAAAAAGGAAGCAGCAGTGATGAAGAAGAACAACGCCTATGCTGTAGCTGTGGCTAACTACGCTCCCAACATCACAAAAGACTCTACGCTGCCCACCATCTCAAAGTGCGGTCTGACCGGTAACAACAAGACCGCAGCGGAAACAAAGCCTGAGCACAACAAGAAGACCTTCAACAGCGTCAGCAAGATCGACCGCATCTCCCGCATCACGTTCCCCGTTCTGTTCTCAAGCTTTAACCTGGTCTACTGGGCCACCTACCTGAACAGAGATCCAGTCATTAAAGACATGGACCATGCCAAATGAAACGTACAGGACTCACTACAAACACACCAATTCAGGACTTATACATCTGTTGGTATTCATTTTATCAGCCAGTAGCTGTGTACAATACATGCATTGAGAAATCCGCTCTCTCTTGCCGTACTGATTTTTGGATTGAAGCAGGTAAACATCATAACTGGGTTACAATAATCCTGAGAGATCATACAGGAGTAAGCCAGGCATCTTTACAAGGTTAAAGTCAAGATACTTTTAGTTCCAGATGCCCAAACAGAGAGGAACGGAAACTTATACTTCCTCTTGGATCTAAAAAAAGATATACATTGCATAAAAAAAAGGAAATATCCTCCTAATTATCGTTTCCAAATGTGATATTTCTGAAAGGATCTGGTAAAATTAGAAAACAATACTCCAAAAACTAGGAAAAAAAACAATGTTTAAAGCTGCAGTAATCAAAAACGTTATATCGCCAAAAGATCAAACTCATAGTGATTGAACCATAGAGATTTGTCACCAACTGTCTTTGAAACAAACATTTCCCAAATTGGGATCAATAAAGCACTATCTTGTCTTATCTTATCTTACTCAGCAGCAAAGTTTGTTTGTGAAAAGGCTCTGATAAAGCCACTGCAATGTTCACTGCTCAGCAGCACACAGCAGGCACAGTGAGAGAATAGCTTGACAACATTGTTAGCATTAAGTAGCTTATTCTGCCCTCGCAAGAATACTTTTCGGATAGCAGGCTTGGCAGATAGCTTAACACGGAAATAAACACCCAGGAGATAGCAGCTCAGTTTTGGATGTTTACTGATTAAGTTCAATTTTCATTTTCATTTCCATTTTTGTAAAACTGAAATACAAACAAACCCAAAGTCATGAGACGTTGTCACATTAAACACTAAATAAACAAAGAAACTAGACTAAAACAAACATTCCAAACAACAGAGTACCTGTTAGCATAAATGCTACAAACATTTCCACTGCTGTTCACAAGTTTAGCATCATTCATTGTTCTTCATGTTTGCATATAATCAATTTAAATGTGCAACTAAGTATACACGGACAATATATGGAATGGTACTTACAGACATAAAGACCCTAGGATTTGAGCAAGGATTTTGTTGGCAGGAAACAACCCATGTGCTCCATTAGGCAGACAGAAACAGGAAATTACGGCAAGCATTTATGGACACCCAGTGCAAAACCCAAAACCCTTTGCAGGCCCTCTTAAAGGGGCAGCACATAGCTGAAGGTACAGTATGACTAACTGGGGAACATACTTAGCATTTAGCAGCTAAAGACACAGTTAGAGACTAGTTGGGGAACATAGTTAGCATTTGGCAGCTAAAGACACAGTTAGAGACTAGTTGGGGAACATACTTAGCATTTAGCAGCTAAAGACACAGTTAGAGAGTAACTGGAGAACATACTTAGCATTTATCAGAGCAAGACACAGTTAGAGACTAGTTGGGGAACATAGTTAGCATTTGGCAGCTAAAGACACAGTTAGAGACTAACTGGAGAACATACTTAGCATGTAGCAGAGCAAGACACAGTTAGAGAGTAACTGGAGAACATACTTAGCATTTATCAGAGCAAGACACAGTTAGAGACTAGTTGGGGAACATAGTTAGCATTTGGCAGCTAAAGACACAGTTAGAGAGTAACTGGAGAACATACTTAGCATTTATCAGAGCAAGACACAGTTAGAGACTAGTTGGGGAACATAGTTAGCATTTGGCAGCTAAAGACACAGTTAGAGACTAGTTGGGGAACATAGTTAGCATTTGGCAGCTAAAGACACAGTTAGAGACTAGTTGGGGAACATAGTTAGCATTTGGCAGCTAAAGACACAGTTAGAGACTAGCTGGGGAACATACTTAGGCTAGCATTTGGCAGCTAAAGACAAAATTAGAGACGTAGCAGCTAAAGAAACAGATTTTTTAGGAATTGGAGACTAAACCAGTTAACCAAAAAAATAATATTGGATCAACATTCATCATTACATTTATGCCTACTAGATGTGTAAATAGGACATATTTTGCTAACATATTTGTCAGGTCCCAAAATGTATATGGTTGTAGTCTGAACTCACACTATTGGCTCCTCACAACAGAGCCGGCCAGCTAACCAATCAGAGCAAACTTGGCTCTGGTTTCAGACAGAGGGTCAAAAAAGGTGCAGCACAGGCAGTATGAGAAAAATAAAGAGCTTTTTGAACATTAAAGCATGGAGACATGTCAGAGCAGAGACACTAAATACTAATAAGAACCTGGAAATAAGTCCAATAGGGCCCCTTTAACACAGTCCATGAAACGGTTCATAATCACCAATAAGAGTTATTATCTAAGGATCCTTTCCTCTTAATTGTGTGTTGCAGTACTGATGGATAATAGAGGCCATAATTACAAGAACATGTCTCTTGAGTTTATTTCACCAATCAATTACTTTTGAACAGTTTTTTCATTATGAAACTTTTATAATCATGACAGTGGGGCGTTTAGCAGCACAGAACATCAACCAACCCCTCCACTGATTTCTGATCGCTTCTTAGTCTCTATGTTGAAATGTACCTTTCATATCTCTCCTATTAACATGTTTACCACATCAAACAATTTGCTGGGAACTTATTCCACACCACAGCTTCACCACAGTCACACCCAGGGCTGCACGGTGCTTCACTGCTCACTCTGTACTCTTTGTACAGCTCTCTAGACTGTGTCACACTGTGGAAGATGATTATGATTAAATAGAAATGTGTGAGAATGCGTGTAGAAATATAAAGTGTCTGTGTATTTAAATGTAGATTTATGGTAATCTTTTAATATACAATGTAGCAGAAAAACTGGACCAACACATTTAAAAGTCTCAACCTTGGAAAAATAAACTGTGTCAATTACTGTATTCTTTACATTTTGTCGTTTTGTATGTGTAAAAGTTTTCGATATATGTATATGTACATACATTCTGTGCTTTGTTTAACCCACTTTTAAAATCTATATATTTTAGATGAGAATTGTTCTAGAGATTATGTTTTCCAACTTGACCTCGTGTTTCTTTAAAATGTTGGAGTGTAAAAGCTCTTCCTGATTCCTCTGACCATGAATACAGGATTGTGAAATTCACTGAGAACAAATCTGTGTCGTTCTGTTTTTACCTGGGCGAAACCAAAATGTAGTATGAGTCCTAAAAACTGGAAATTAGATTTAGGCACTTCCTGTTACCTCATCTCAAAGTCACCTTTTTTTAACGTGCGTTTTATTTTTAAAATTTGTGACGTTTTCTTCCATGACTGTTACGACCCACCCTCTACTCAGTGGTAGTGGCTCGAGGGGAGACCCGCAACATAAAAGAAAACACACCAAACATTTAGCACTTAACGACGACCATTTATTTGTGGGTTACAGCCATAATACACATAGGCCAACCGGCAAAAGAACGAGGACTGATAGAAACAAACAAAAACAGAGGGGGGCCTTGGGCCAGCCACACCACGGGCCGTAGGACCCAGACGTCCCTACCCAAAAGTCTAACAAGTCACTACGGGAAAAACAAAGCCGCGAAAAAACTATGCTATCAGATCCTCCAGAACACACAAGTTCACCATGATAACACACATAACCTACAGATCCGAAACACCAGCTAGATTGTTCCCGAACAGTAGGCTTGTTTGAGACGTGTTGCGGCTCGCCTCGAAAGTAGACTAGAATAGCCGATCGCAGCCGGGGGAGGTCTCAAAAAACTCGCCTGAAGTCGGACAGCTCGGAGTCGGCTTCTTCTTCTTCTCTCGGTTTTTTGGCGGATTGCAAACAACTTTAATGTGCATACCGCCACATCTGGAGTCGGCTTGACTCGGTTTGCATTTATAAAGAATGCACAAATGTGTTTAATCGTTAATGTCAGATATGTACAAAGTAAATACATTTGTTCCTGCTCAAGATTAGATTCAACTTTATTGTTATTGCACATATTACAGGTACTGAGACAACGAAATGCAGTTTAGCTTCTAACCAGGTGCAACAAGCAGTAAAGTGAAAAGTAATGTATACAATCTACAGAATAAAATATAGAATGAATTGAATGATGAATAAACAGTGAGGGGTATGAATACACTAGATATACACCGCAGCCTGTGAGCAGTATGAACAGTGTGTATGAATATGCTAAGATATATAAAGTATGAAACGGTAAGCAGTGCAAGTATAGTATCAAATATATAGATATTAATGTCATGATGATAAATATTGTGGAACAATGATGAAAAATGGGAATGGATGTGACGACGTAAAACGGACACAAAACAACAACAAACTTTAGCCGAGCCAATGGGAGAGCTTCATCAGCAGAGCAAGTCGTTTCCCATCAAGCATTTCGCTTCCGCAGCCCGTGGAGAGGAACTGCGCCGCCTCGCCGTGTCTCGCTCTCAAGGCTGCGGGCGTCTTTGTCCCGCGAGATTTCAACGTCTCATGTAGGCGAGCCTCCAGAGCAAGTCGGACAAAATGACTAACCATCATGCAACGCACGAGCAAGACGTTGATCGAAATTGCGCAGGTCTGCGCAGGTCTCGCTGGTCTCAAACAAGCCTAGTGTCTTCCAGCATCAGGATTGGGGAGAGAGCTCTTCTCCTCCAGCTTCTCCTTCTAAGTCCCCAGCTGAATGGAATTAGGACACCTGCGGGAGGCGGAGCCAGGGGCGGACCAGATGTGGTCTGCGCAGCAGAGAGACAGAGAAGACAACAGAAAAGGGAGCACATAACAATGACCAGTGGTGCACATAACTGGTACACAGGTACGCATGCGCGGCAAAAATCTGAAATGCGTACCGTCACTTGTCACTAAGCGCCTTTGCGTACCGACGTACTTGTGAAGCCTTTCCAGAGTCGGTCTCTGTGTGCACAGATGGGGCTGCTGTTAACATCGGTCTGTACAACGGAATTGTGCCAAAACTAGGTCAACCGGCTGCGGAGGGAGACCAGGGGCGGCGCCAGGGGGTGCTGAAGCACCCCCTAAGCACCCCCAAAAATGTGTTTTTTTTCTTTTCGAAAATAATAATAATAATTTTTATTAAATTAAATTATAAATATTATTGATTACATCAATGCAAATGTGAAACAAATACAATTATGACCAAAAACATAAAGCCAACACAGGTGATATGATTAGGCAATGGCCAGCACCGATTCGATTTTTGACCTACCCATAGGCTAAATGACTTTGTGACACTTGAGTGACTTCCTGTTAGCTAGAGCGCCAACTTATTTGCTAACAGCAAAGTAAAAAATTGATCGTTTTTTAGTCCTTAAACGTCCACGTGTGGACACTCAATCAAAACCACCTGAAAGCGAGAGGGATTCTGCACATAATAGCATAGCCTCTTGAGTACAAGTAGCTTACTTCTGGGTCTCTGTGTTTCATTCAAGCTCTGCTCTGTGTGTGTGTGGCACGAGCCATTTTGTGTGCGCGAGCGAGCGAGAGAGCTCACGCACCGGTGGGTAGGCCTATCTACTGGAGATCGTTGTGGTTAGCATCTGGTGCTAGCTAGCCAAGCTAACGGATATAAGGAGCTTTTTCAACAACAAGGTGGAGGGAGAACTCTCTCCTGTCAGACTGAGAGTCTCAGATAACCTCAGCTCAGGTGAAGTAAAGGACTCTCAGTGTTTAGATAGTTATCTTTAGTCTAATTATCTCAGTGGGTCTCAAACGGTTTGTTTTAAAAGGGGAGTTGTAAAATATCTATAAAGAAATAGAAAATCTGTTTACAGTTCTGTTTCATCTGGGTGTTGAGAGATGTATCCATAGATCTCTTCAATATTTAAAAAAAACCTTCCCGGGGAAGCATGCCCCCGGACCCCATTAGAGGAGGTGAGGTCCCTCCTAGAGGACGTGAGGTCAACTCCCCACTTGTAAAAATAGCACTTTAGCCCTGCTTACACCTATATGCCGTGAGCTGATTATCGAGCCTTCATTGTAACAGTCGCGGGTGCACTGTGTGTGTGTGTGGGGAGTGTTGCAGTAGAAAATGCAACTGGAGCGCTGGTAATGTTTGAGCACCCTCTATGAAACGTCAAGCTACCCCACAGCACCCCCTAGAGTTAATCTCTGGCGCCGCCACTGAGGGAGACTCCCCTGTGTACATTCTGTGCCCCGCGCACACACTGGAGAACCGCGCAAAATCAGCTGATCACAACGTTCACGACACGCTCTCCCAAAGTGTATGCTGAACAAAATGCGTTTGAAACAGATCTTATTTTCTGCAATATTTCAAAATTCAAGAGAAAAATTCCATAGACTTTTAATTTAATTCCGGGTTGTTCTTAGAAATGCCCTTACTGCATCACTCTATTGTCAACAATAACACGTGTATACACTCAGGATGGTCTTCATTCACTTTATAACTGCTGGTATACTCTAGAGAGGACCCCCTGGAGTGGTGTTTGACATCATTTGTGAAAGACAGGTCATAGAACATGAGTCAGTGGAGGGAAGGATCGAGGAGGGCATTCACAACCAATACCGTTTTCTGTGCCATCATGTTTCAGACAACACATAATCAGACTATGTGATCAATTGAAAGAAAGAACTCTGTGTCCATGCTTTCAAATTCCAATTGTACATTTTTGTTACAAGTGTTAGGAGTGGAAGCAGAGGACATGTAGGACAGAATTTACAATCTTAGTCTCAACACTTTCCCAGTGGTAAAAGCTAACAGTCATGGCAGCTAGCTAGCTGACGGCAGCTACTGTTGGCAGCAGTTAGCAGTTAGCCTTATGAGCAACAAGTCAAACGTTCTGTCCATCAGGAAAGGTAAACAGCTGGATGACCAGAGAAAATGTTTCCGTAAAATGTGTTCCACTTTCTTAAGTAGTTCCTCCAGTGCATCACCGCTCGCCAGCGTTACATAGTGAAGGAACAGACGTTCAGGGTGAGAGTGTAACTGACAGATAAATCATGCTCCCTGATACAAGTCAGAGTAGCATCCAACTCTTTTTGAAGCTGATATTTTAGAGGTAGACAATGATATTCTTTCTTTGACATGATCAGAATGGTGGTTTATTTTCTGTGGGATAGGTTTTACGGGTGAAATCTAATCTCATAATTTACATATCTTTCACATATCTTCATATTTTCTCTCTTACCCTGTCATTTAAAATGAGTCCTCTCCATTTTATTAGCATAGATGGATGGATTTAAACATGTATACATTAATATGTCTTGTATCAACCCAGTCTCACGGCATTTCGTGTTATAGTCCAACCCAGTCTCACAGCATTTCGTGTTATGAGCATCATTGCGATACACACCATGATACAAACCCACTGAACTGATTACCCAAGATCCTCAGCTATGGTTTAAGCTTGGTGATTGGATGTTTTAGCCGCAATGCTCGTTGGGATATGGTGTTAATGCGATATGAAATCCGAAAAAAACTTCGATTTAGGATGGCCGAAGACACTACACTTCCCATAATCCTCAGCTATCGTTTGGGACTACAGTCCCTTTGCTTGACAAACCCTGTGATTAATCTTCAAGCTCTGGGATTGGATGTTGGAGTGGCAGTGCACCAAGGTTACGCCGAGCGTCAAACAGCACTTTGAAATGGAACGAAACCACGGCAGACTATCCAAAACTGGACTCGAACGGGACCAGCCCCCCCAGAACTACACATGCTGGCTATTGTGTTTCGCAAAATGTTCTATGGGACGTCTCTACTGAACGTTTTCGTTTTTCCAACAATTAGAAGTTGCCAGTATTAAACACATTGGTGTTATCAAATGTAAAACATATAATTAATAAATGGGTGAAAATCGCTTGTGTGCATAATGGGCAGCATTAATATACCCACATGACAGCTCATTGTTACTTTGTAATTCTACTCCACTACAATTCAGAGGTTAACCTGGTATTTTTACTCCACTACATTTATTTGAGTTACTTTGCAGATTCTGATTAATGATGTGAAATATAAACAACCCTTAAAGCAGACTTTAGTTACACTTGAGTAAAATTCAGGGAAGGTGATTGTCAAGTGCCAACAATCAGAGAGATATTTGATAATTGGTGCTTGAGAAGACTAAACATTTATCTGCAGATCTCTATAACGTATTACTCGTTATTCTCTACTAATA